GTGGAAATTTCACTTTCAACAGCAGATTGGAGTGCTACGATTGGCCGTGGAACTCGGGAGGAATTGACATCTGCACCGAGTTTCAATCATGGCTTCGTACTTTGCAGCCCCACGAGTTGGCACTGGACGCTGTGTTTCATTTCTTGGCATATCTCAAGCAGCACAGTCGTTCTCACCCTTGTTTTGTCCTTCCTATGTGAATCATGTGGAACCAGAGCGACCTGACTGGAGGATTTCTTGCCGATGCGAAAGAGCTTTTGCCCCAGACATGCCGAAGCCCTCGGCAAACCAATCCAAATACCATGTTTGTGGATTCTACCATGCTGGGGACAGGTGACACGTCGTTCGCGTAATGGTGTACTCGTCTTTGCTAACATGTTCCAATATTTGGTATAGCAAGAAGCAGGGCCATTGAACTTCCCTTTGGATCTAGTTCGCGCGATGAAGGTTGGATCGAGATCGTGGAGGGCTTCGGTACAAGCTCAGGATGATGGGAGTTCCCCTTGATGGCCCGGCTCACGTCAAGGCGGAAACATGTCCGTGATCAAGACTCGAGCATCCCGGAGTCTACTTTGAAGAAAAAGAGCAACTCGTCGCATACCACTATGTCCTGAAAGGTCGCTGCAGGAATGGAAACATCACTATGAGAATACAGAGAGATTTGGCCGATATGTTGACGAAGATCCAGAACGGGCCTGAGGCAGCGACTTGTTTCGAAAGTCCTTTACTAACAATCTGCAACAAGGCAACATGACCATAGGTGGGCCGTTTGGTGAACGGCAGGTCTGAGCCTCCAAGGGGCCTGCCCCAAGGGTACATCCTGTTTCAGACTTCCGAAGTCGTTTTCCCATGTCAAGTGCAATCTAGCGTGAACGTGAGATAGATCCCCCTCTAGCTTGAGGGGACCGAAAATGACCTGTGGTAGCGATTTATGACTATCCAGTTACCAGATTACTAAAATCAACCACACAACAACTACCAAGTAGTAACACAACACTATAGCAACCTCTTTATCAACACCACCATCAGCCTTTTTCGCTATCATTCAATCGTTCGATCGATCGTTTGCACCTCTACTATCATTCAATGGTTTGATCGATTGCACCTCTACTACTGTATCATTCATTGGATCGTTTGCACCTCTACTCTATCAGCTCTGTCGCGATGCTCTGATAGTGAGGCTGTGCAATGAGGCTGATTCTGTTCTTTCTTAAAGAGTTCTTAAACAAGCTTTAGTCCTTACGCTCGCTCACGGACTAACCAGCCTCCTGTTAGTCGGTGAAGGAGCGTTTTGACTAAAGCCTTTAGTCCGTATGACGTTTAGTCGCTTGGGTAGACACCACCCCAAGAGACTAAACTATGGACTAAACTACAAAATATGGCTTAGTCGCTACTTTAGTCGCTCTGGTAGAGACCGGCCTTTACGAAATTTCCCACTCTCAAACCCCCCTTATTAGAATAGAGGTGCGGTGAAAGGGCATTGAAAAAGATCCACATGGCAACAGCATGGCAACCGTCGATCCGTAGAAGCGTCGTATCAAGTCGCTAGCTAGAGGCGCCACGGTCGCTCCTTGGAGAGACATGGTCGCAGCGTGGAAGCAGTCATCGACCCACATCGAATCGAATCGAATCGAATCGAATCGAATCGAATCGATCCGTCGAACGGAACCGCCCGTTCCAAGATACACAAACAAAGAGGAGCCTGTCCACGGTGGAGCCTTCTTCGAAAGGAGTACCGTAGCCGTAAGAGGAGGTAATTCATCTTGATACTGGTACATGTAGGATAGATCGAGTAAAGGTGAAGCTGTGGAGATGGATGTGATGAAGCAAAGAGACGAGTGGCTTGGATCAAGCATACATGTTTCTAAATCGGTGGCCATCCCTCGTTCAAACACCATTTTCCCACATTCTGAGACAATTCACATGTACATTTGGTGTGCCAGAAGATGGAAAATTGAACTTGTTGCCAGTCTACTGGCTGTTTGTCTAATGAAGCTTCAGAGAGAACCAACAGCAGCATCTCCGACTTGACGACTGACTCTCCCACGCACGAAATAACCTCTTCATTCGAAGCAGTCAGTTGCCTCCATAACTTCCGCCACCATTGAAACGCGAAAGCTATGCCCTTTTCTCTTCCACGCCACAATGGTCGAAACACTCCACAATGGTGGCTTCGTGCGGTCGACAACAACAGCGTGCGTTCGATCGTCGCAACTATACATACAACAAGAGTCAGTAGAAGCAAAAGCGGTACCACCGGCTAGAGTAGCGTAACGTTGGCTCCTGGTCGACTTTGTCACGGTGGAACGATCTTTCTTTCTTTCACATGGCAGCAATTTTAGAGTACTTAAAGGTTAGGAAAAAGACTTAGAGAGACATATTGTGGCGAATATCCCAAACCATCATTTCGACATGCTCTTGTCTTCGCAGTGTTAACTACCGTCGAAAGACGTTCAGAGCGTAAGGCGATACTACCTGGTACCGCACCGATGGTTACTATTTACGCTTCAATGGGATCGGCGCTTGGAAGACGTTGATAAAACAGGGAACAGCAGATCGCCAACGCCACCGGAGCTGCCTGGTGTCTGCAAAAATGTGAGCCACTGCTACCGTACTGCTACTACATCACTCACATGAATGCTGCATTCTGAACCACACCATTCCCCAAGACAACGACCCGAACTAGACAACAGCACAATTCAGGCGTCGGGACTACAGCACACTGCTGTGCTGCAAGGAAGAGATTGTGATTGTTGATACCCGTGCGTGATACCCATATTATCGATAACTTCAGAACAACATACTTATGTCGACACAAACCCCTCTCCTCCGAACCTCTAGGGAAGAAACTCCATCACTTCCTCAAAACGAAATGGAAAAACAAACGGGCTACCATAAAAACGAAAAGAAACAATCCTCAATGAGGCCAGTAGACATGCTGGCATCGTCTTGGATGCCATTATGCCAAACCCTGATTTTCTTGTTCTGTGCATGTGCCTTCTTCACAATTGAAGCCTGGAAGTTACTGCCAACACTAAACCACAGCATGAGCTGGGTTCAAGCTGCCAATACTCCCTTCTTGTTGACGCAGCTCTTCAACCGAAGTATTGACTCTCACAATGACAAGCTAAAGTGCATAGGATGGCGTAGAACAGAAAATTGCAGCCCTCTTGGGTCGGTCATTGAGGACAAGAACCGACCTGTAGGTTTTCTCAGGAGCTTCCTTTACAATAGAAAATCATGTAATCAACAGATACCAGTTTATGGGGATGAGTCAGGATATTGTGAGATGGAAACAAGGGCAGGGCAAGTGGTTAAAGTCTTCCAAAAAGGATGCCAAGAAGGAGTCCATCATGCTGGGCGTCCAGAAGCACATTTCTCATGCCACATGGCAGCTTCCTTTCTGAAGTACAAGAACCGAATGATGAGCTATGAGCCTGATAAACCCATCGCAATTTCTGATCATGCAGTTCCTTTCAGAGGAATTGTTATGCAGGTGTATGGGAGAATCTTACCAAGTGTTTATTCCCTTGTCAAAGTCTTGAGAGAATTTCATGGTTGCAAGCTTCCCATAGAGTTATGGTCTGGACCTGGGGAAGTCACTGAGTCTGATCCTGTGGTCCAGCAGCTATTGGCAGAAACTAACACCACTCTTCGAATCATCAGTGATGCATCCATCACATCATACATGTCCAAACCATACAGCATTGTACACAGTCAATTTGATCAGGTTCTGTGGTTGGACAGTGACAACTTTCCCTCCCGGGACCCCTCATTTCTGTTTGAGACTGTGGAGTTTCAGCAAAATGGTGCCATATTCTGGAAAGACTTTTGGAGGCCTCAGATGAATGACTTTTTTCTCACCAAGTCTTCCTTGGCATGGGAGCTGTTTGATATCCCACCTGATTCACCAATTCGTGAAGAAATGGAGATGGAGGCTGGTCAGCTTGTAATTGACCGCAGAAGATCCAGGAAGGCCCTTAATGCCCTCTTGTTTTTGACCATGACATTCAAAGAAATCATAGAGCCCATGGACCTCCTTCTGGGAGACAAGGATCTCTTCAGGTTTGCTTTTCATGCCACCAACACCCCATTCTACTACATGGAGAAGCCATCTGGTTTTGCTGGAGTTTCTACTAAGTCTTGGTCGTCGTTCAATAGCAAAAAGGTGTGCAGTCATACCATGATGCAACCTGACCCAATGGGAAATCCACTCTTCTTTCACAGGAACTTAGCAAAGCTTGTAGACCGCAATAGTCTTCAGAAGATTTGGGAGAAGGGCATGAGGTTCATTGGTGCCTCTGATGCCCAGTACCATGTAGACATGTTTAGAAACCAATCCAGACCAGAGGGGTGTTTTGCACCATCAGATCCTGCTTACTTTGAGGAATTGGACTTTGGAATAGGATCCAATGTGTCCCAGTTTGAAGACAAAATCTTGTTTTATGCTGGTGAAGCTTTGTCAATTCTTGAGAAAGCAATGAATGGCTAGCTAGCCAGGAATGATTGATTAGCACTGCTTATTGGCCAGTGGGGGGCAGGCGACTTTGCAATCGGGAACACATAACGTCTACTAGCTAGATAAAGGGCCCATGGCGTTGGAGTCCGTCGAAGTCAAAGATATTATGAATGTTCGTCTTATTAGTTTGCTAGCTAGTTGCATGTCGAATGCAAAGAAGAGCCGCTCGGCAGCATCATTTTGGGAACCTCGCGCTCAGGCTTGCCCCGATGGCACCGTCGGTGGGAGACCACACCCAGCCAGAACAAAGAGCCAATGAACTCGAACTCTTCTTGACGTTATGTTACAGTATTCCGACAAAAGCACTGCGTCCTCCAATACAAGTACGTCTAGCGTACTGACCAATACAACAATACCGGTAGCTGTGAAGACCCAACCGATCGTTTAGACAAAGAAGGCGGATGGAACAGTTTGATGGAAGGTATTATCGCGAATGATTCGTTCGAGGGATACTTGGTCGGCATTCCAAATGCCATCGAGTGAATTCCCTTGTAGATCCGGGTCATTGCGGAAAAACATGGGATCGCCTTTCATGAGCTTTGTGAATTGGTCTTTCTTGATGGTTGCAGCAAGCTCGCCCACGCTAGCACCAGAGACGTGGTCCTCCGCCAAGGCTCCGATCCAGGCATCCATGTCATCCACCGATGGATACACAGAAGACAACTTGGAACGAAGCGATGCATCGGACGTTACGTCCTCCCAGCTGGATTTGGCATCCAAACCAAAAGCTTGGCGCACGCCATTGTAGCTCAAGATGCCGTGATCTTTGCCTCGATGCAGGTTCAGTGCGGCAAGGTCAAGGCAGCTCCCGCTACTTGTTGGATCAACGAACAGAAAATCTCGGACATCGTCCACAATCATCGTGTCAATTTCTTGTGCCTGTTGGCGCACAAAGCCTCCTAACAACTTGTCAACATTGGTGGGATCGCCGCTGAAATAGGATGGGTTGAAGAAGAGATTACGGAGCTCCACCGATCCTGCTTGGCCATTCTGATCTACCAGTTGTAGGGTGGATGAAAGCATACTATGTCCAAAGCGGTACGCAACAGTCGAGAACTCATTGGTGATACGTGGGTCTGCCGAAGAGTCGTAGCCGCGGTAGTCACCCAATGATGGGGCCCAGTCTGTCCCAAGCACAGCAGGCAAGTAGTCCTTATACGTGATGATTTGCATCTCAGCTCCCACCAGTTTGCGAGCCAGCTGGTAGATTTCCTCATCAGTAGCAGAGCCCCAACGGGCTTTGATTGCCGTGGCAAGTCGATTGTGCTCCCGAACAAACAGAGTGTGCATCGCAGTGAGACCCGCTGAGAAAATCAAAGGGTAAACGGGTACGGGTAGAATGAGCGAAGATGCGATGGTAGACACACCACTAGACTTCAAGACTCACCATGCTCATTGCCTCGGATATCTCCAACCAGATAAAACTCTGAACCATCACCAGCATTGTCCAGGCCTGCTTCGTTGAACGGTGGCATCTGGGATAAGATGCAGAAAAGGCGATTGTGAGAGGCATGCTGCATTCTTGATAATGCCCTTGTGACGGGAGTGACACGCAATTTCCTGAACGCACCTGGCCGTTCTGTGTTGTCTTCAAGAGTCCATCAGTGAGTTCTCGTAGCTCAATTGCGCGAACTTCGTCAGAGCCGTACACTTGAGAAGCATCGATGAATGCTGGAAGATGCAGGGAAGGCGATATGTGAGCGGAATTCTGCAAAGATGATATACTGTGACACACGATTTCCTGTACGCACATGTCACCATGTTGACCTGTTCCCTCCTGTCGTCCTGGAGCACATAGTGCGATCTGATGCAGGGAAAGCGATATGTGAGCGGCCCAAAATGATGGTGCTCATGTGATGGCTCTGACATGCAATTTCCTTCACTCACCTAGTGAATGACATTGAGTTACAATTATTCTGGGAGAACAGGTCGTCAGCGTCACTTGGTACATCAATGTTTTCGACCCCAAAGGATGATGCGCCTTCGGTCAAATCTACAAGGCAGCCAATGTGTGAGCGGCTCGCTGCCATCATGATGCAGTTGTGATGAATCAAAAACTGATGTCTCACCGATGTCGTGATCGAGGAACTGGCCCCATGCCCACACCATGTCTGACAGTCTTCGATCGTTGAGGTCAGTTGTGTCTTGCTTCACAATCACATTGCTTATTGTTCTAGGGTTGTAGCCCTCGTACATGCCTTCTTTCCCATCAGTGTAGGACACTGAGTCTGCCTGTCTCGTGAGCGGAGCATCCGCCTCTCCAAAGGTGTCGCCCGCACGAGTGACTGCGCGGTCAGTGCCGTCAATGGATCGAAAGTCGGTCAGAGGAAAAGGGCCCGGGTTTCCGTCACCACCCTGTTGGAGTCGAGTCACAGCACCCAACGAAGCAAAGTGTTTGTTAGCTATGCATGTGATGAACAAAGATGAAGTTTCACACACTGCGTACGTACCCCGCCACCGCCACCCTGTTCACAGTCAGATCATGCAACGAGGCAAGTGTGAGCTCTGGCTGTGATGTTGCCTATGCTATTGCTTTCATGTCCTGCTAGCCAGTCTCTTACCCCCCCATCGCCGCCGCCACCGCCACCACCGTCGCCGCCGCCACCACCTCCGCCGTCGCCGCCACCGCCCTATCTCACATAAACAACACAGGTGTCAGCTTGAGATTGCGTTCGTGCCCTTAGCTTTTTCAGATCCAAGGACTTACACCTCCTCCACCACCACCACCACCACCCTACATGTTTAAAAGCATTCATAGTGTTAGCTTTGAGGCTGACTCGTAGGTTTGAGGCTGACTCTTCGCCTCGTGTGCTTCGATTCAGCTTCTATCTGTTTCATACGTACCCCATCACGGCCGCCACCATCTCTACCGCCGTCACCTCGATCACCGCCGCCATCCTACGGGGAGGCAAAAGACAAAAAGATGAGATGAGATTCGATTCATCCTGTGGTCGACGTGCAACCAAAAAAAAACGAAACTCGAACCACTCACTCCACGTCCACCCTGTCTTAAGAAACCTTCTTGTCCAACGATGCTTGTGGCCTGGAGGCACAAAAGAGTAATTACAGCAGAGAATTTCATTGTCGAGCTTTCGTCAGATCGCTACAGTGCTTCTTGGAATCTATAATTTGTGAATGCAAATAAATTGTGAGCCAAAGAACTGTGAACGTTGGAACCATTTGGAGCCGACAGGCTACTACAGTGTACAACATTGTCATGTAGTGAGTTCTTGAGGCTCGATGTCCTCGGTCATCGAAGATAGATGTTGTTTACCCCACTTTTTCAACCCTGAATGATACGGAGCCCGAGTAGACCGAACGGTCGCACTTTGTTGCAGATCCTGGGGTTTACATCCCCCTGTCAGGTTTCACGAACCATCGAGACAAAAATTGGCATAGATACAGTGTCACCTTGCCCCAAACACCGTAAACCTTTGAAACCCGGTTGTACTACTTACAATAGTCCCTCCGTCCCTCCACCACTACTCAGTACTCAGTATAGTTTTCTTCTCCTTGACTGCGAAGAATCCATTCACAGGCATTCAGGTCTTCAAACTGTCTTCGCATCTTCGCATAAAACCAGTGCCACATTTTGGCAAGATTGACACAAAAACTGGGGTCCATGTCCATGTGCTTACCCCAGCTTGGATTGTTGTCTTTCATCTGCATGGCGTGTAGGGAGATTGACTGGATTCCAACGTATTCGTCGTCGATTCTTTCAACCTGGGTGAACACAATTTGAATGCAAGAAGTTGAGAGTCCAAAGCCAACCAGGCATGAGCAGCAATAGTCAGCCACGGATCGAAGCACCCAGCCAGCATCGGCAGCCCTTATTTTAAAATACCCACTTACCCAGTTGATCCCTCATATCAGTAGCTTTTGAACGATTGATGCTGCAGCGGTGCCAGAACTGTACTAGATAGCTAGTATCTGCTTCGGACGAAATCACATGTATCCTTGTCCTTGGATAGCTAGATCCGTGTTGGTGGCATTTAGAAAAGGTGACATCCAAACCTCGCTTTCGAGGCCATTGCTCATTGCAGCTGCTGGTTCATTACTGTAGTCAAAGGATTTCTAGCTCGCTACCGGTAGTGCCGTAGGAAGACCCCATTTCTTCCAACAAAGCAGGAGCCTGTGGCGACCGACGGTAGATAATCCACCCCTAAACTCCCGATGTACCCGTACCGGTGTGTGGGGGACGAATGATTAGATGGAATAATCCAATCGATGGAATCGAATCGAATTCGTGCAGAGTGTGCACCCTGAATGAGGGAGGATTTCCCGACTACTAGTACAACAATTCACTTTCGAAGCAACTCCATCCACCACCAGACAAGATTATAGACACGTTCGTGTTGCTTTGCTACCACAATAACAGAAGGGAGGTGCTCGCAAGAGCAACTGTTAGTACATTGTAGTGTTGGAGGGCAACGGAACAAAGTGGCTTGGACTTTGGGCCATGGGTTGTCCACGTCACACGTGCGAAGCAAAAGACTGCAAAGCTGCTGAAGAAGGCAAGCTCATGCACGACTCGACGTTGGTGATACCTTTGCCGCACGGTGCTGGTGCAGTACAGTACCCTCATGGACGTCCTCCTTGAAAGACAATATCGGTAATACCGGAACGGCCCCTGTTCCTGAAGACGATGCTGTTCCTGAAGGTACGAGCATTGTTTGCCTATTGAGACCAGTCAATGTGGACGGATGGAATGTGCCTACGGTACCGGTACGGTGCAAGGTGATCTCACTTTCGGCTGGAAGCTCTGACCAATATGACTATTAATGTAGTGTGCGTGAGCTTCGTTACTATGAATTACGAAAGAAAACCCAAACAATGACACTGGTTTTACAGCAGCAAAGACACCCCATCGCGAGAGTATTCCCTAGCTAACTTAGAGGGATGAATGTGCGATGCCACTAGAAGTTGGCATAGCGAACTGATCGTCTCTTGTTCAAGCCCAAGAACCCACTTGAAGAGTTCTTGGGTCTTTTGGTGTCGCTGCTGACATTTCTTGACTTGTAGCCGCCATAGCTTTCGGACACATACTCCATCTGATGGTGCTTGTTACCCGTAATACCAGCTACCATGTCATTGGAAATTTTGTGGGCGTGAATCTCTTGTGCCAGCGGTGTAGACCCGCAAAAGGCCAACAAGGAATATGACTTGCTGCGAGTCGCAACCATGTCCAACGTGTGTTGTTCAATCACTTCGCAAAAGTCAGGTCTCCCAAAACGAACGGCTCCAGCACGGTACAGGTCCAAGTCGGCAAACTCTTGCCGCAGGATATCGCAGGCGTCCTCATCGGCATCGGTAACGTGGATGGATATGCGGCACACTTTGGCTGCGTTTTCTCTGCCCCACTCTGCTACCAGCGTATCCCAAAGCACATGAATTTCAGGCATAATCTTTGAAACTAACGAGGCCGATCGGGTGACCCAGACAAGCTCCAAACGGTCCAGTGTCCCGCCAAATCCGTCGTCTTGGGCTAAATTGCTTCTCCAAGATCGATGACGAGGCCGTACCACCATACTCCAAAGCCGAGCCGTCATGTATCCAACCAAGATGCAGTAAAGGGTAACTTCGGAGGGAGTCAGTTGCTCGTACTTGGCGTATTGTAGAAACCAGTACCAATCAGCAAAGGGTGCAATGACGCAGACGACAGCATCGATAAGGGCAAAGAACTGAGAGCCATCCCAGATAAAGAAAGCCACAAAGGCAAAGAAAGCCTGAAAGATGACTGTCAGTACCTGCAGAGACTCAATCATGCCGTAGCGTAGTTCAAAGTTGCACGTATTCCAGGAAATTGTTAACCCAAACAGCGCTACGCCCATCACAGGCAAGGCCGACAACAGGACAACTCCATAAATTGATCGTGTTTCCGCAAAGGCGGCATGCTTCATGTTGATCATGTTCTCTCGCACATCACCCCATCGACTAAGTTCGCCATGTCGATGAATGCTGTGCCGCAAGGTTCGGCGACGTTGAGCTCGTTTGGAAACCGACATGTCATCATCATCCTCGGCATTGTCGTCGTCGTCATCATGTGCACACAAAGGATCCTGCTCCAAGAACAAGTAGTCTCCACAGCAAGGTCGCGACGCAATCGCAGCGATTGATCCCTTGCGTTCATCTTCGGCGCATTCTAGTTCAATAATCTTGGATTGTCGTTCTTCCAATGTTCGTAGAAATGATTCAGGTTCCAACCGAAGCAGCTGTCGTACATGCTGCTTAAAGAGAGACAGAACCGGGACAATCCCCGTTCCCGTGCCAATCGCAATGGCATGGGAAAAGTTTTCCGTCTTGGCGAGAGCGGTCCCGTACGGCCCCATGACTTCAAACTCGATCCTTCTTCCATCGCCCTCCACTTGTGTCTGGAGCAACTCCCAAAGCTTGTGACTCCACGAGGTGGAAGGCTCTTCGCCTTTCTTATCAAAGACCTCAATGTAGAATTCAAGGCAGGCACTGCCGGGCCCCGATGCAATGCTAAAGGGATGCCAATGCCGGTCAATCTCTGGCAATCGTAGCTGTGCGTATTGTCCCGGTTTGAAATGGAACAGGACCGGTCGTCGTAGCCTCAAAATGACCATTTTCGATCCACCATTGTCCTGTACCACACTGCTGGCTACCAGTGGTGTCTTGTAGCGATGATTGAGCGCCATGGCGGCTCGATCACAAAAGTAATAGAGCAGAGTCGAACTGAACCATTTGAAGGTCTGCGATCGTTCCTTGGCTCCGCTGCGTTGTTCTCCGTCGAACGTATGAATGATTGTGAGAATGTAAATGATAAACACCAAGTGATGAATTCCGTAAAAGACTTCGTAGGGCATGTTATGCCGGTTGAAGGACGTGATTCCCAGGATGAGCATGAACGCGATGATGACATAGCCAGTTATCATGATTTCACTTCAAGGGAGATGCAAGAAAAAGCGAATGTGAGCGGCATGCTGCCATAATGATGGCGTTGTGACGGGCGTGATTTTCTGGACTTGCCTTCTCATTTTGCGACAAAACGCTTGCTCTCCATCCCCACAGAGGAGTCCAAAAAAGGTCAGAAAGAGCAGGGTCGATATGAAAACTAAAATGACCATGATGTATCCCAGGTGGATATGAATTCGTAGCATTCGGTTCATGGGAACAAATCGCGAAATGACACTCTCGGAAAGTGCCGAAATGGAAAATCGACTCATCGTGAGTGGTATCAGTGCCATTTGAAAGAGAATGGCATGCATGGCTCCAAACTCGAGCGTGGGTACCATGACCTTCCACCAGTACCGATTAGCTCCCTCCGGGACCGTGTTGGTTTGCTGATCAAACTTTTGCATGGCAAAGTGACCTGAATGAATACGTAGCATGAGAGAACGAAAACACGGGACAGCGGTTAGATTCATCCATACGGTAGATAAGATCGAAAGCCCTGACTAGCCTAGGTACATGTATGTACGTACCCCAAACGACGAGAGTAGCCACAAAGTGTACCCAAAAGAACGTCAACAGCTTTCGTTCCGCATAGAGAAACGTAAAGTACCGAAAGAATATTCCTGGATGAAGATACTGGCGTGCCTTGTCGAAAATCTCCTTTTCCTGTTTGGCTCGAACGGATGTCGGTGGCGAGGCTTGACTTGTCGTAGCGTCGAACATGCTTTCGTCAACCGAGTGGGTAATATAGGTAGCTGCGCCCTTGGAGGAGGAGGAACTTTCGCTCTTTTGACTCTGATTGTCGAAACTTCTCCAGATGGGTTGATGATTGCCACTCTCTTTCGAACTCGTCGTGTGATTGGTGTTGTCATTGGTAGTAGTAGTATTGGCCAAATCGGACGTCAGACTGTTGTAGATTACCTCCACGTAGTTGTCCATGGTGTCTCTTGCGATAGATGGTACAAAGACGAAAACGAAAACGAAGATGAATCGGTTGCGACGAAGAAGAATCGTGGAAGGAGAAATTGGGCGGTAGATTGATTGTGTCTCAGAGGACTGTCCGGACTGATGCTTTTGCGATGGGTATCTCGGTTGTTGCTACGACTTTTTGCCTCGATTGTTTCTTTCTTTGAGACTGCCAGCGAAGGGATCTTGTTTCCCGCGTGAATGTATGTAGCAACGCAAAAAATGATGCTCGGGCAGTGCTGGGCTTGAATTGCTAGACTACCAATTAATTAGCGAGTAGGAGTGCCTCCATCGTCGATGCTTTTGTGAGTACCATGTACGGTATGTGACAAGCAACAACGCATACGTTAAGAGGCAATTTCGAAGGACCGTAAAATGTGGGAAGCTAATCAAATCTTTTTGTCGGCGAACTCGTGAAACTCCAAACTACTCAAGCAACGAATACAGCATTTTATCGCCGCAGTCTAAGTACCGTAGCTTCGTGAAACTCAGTCATGCATGCTGCACGTACTTCAAGAAAGAATCCATTGAATCATTCAATCACATTGCTCGATTGATTATACCTGATCGTTCGATGGACGACCATGGCACACATCACTTTGACTTGTTGTTCATCAAGCATCAAGCCTCACAACGAGCCCCCAACTTATCGACTGACTAGCCAGAGGTCCCAACAAAACGAAATCTGATTTTTGTTTGATTGTCGCCCCCCTGAGATACATTGTTGCCAAATTGCATTATGGCAGCAGTATACAGAAGCTATCATCATGAGCTGATTGACTCTCTGGAGGAAAGATAATAGACAGTACAAACTGACAATTCAAACTAGGTATAGCTTGTAACAAACCTTCCATTAAAAATCAATGTGCAAGTTGCAAAACCTTTTAAATCTACATACTTTCATGCACTTTTTCCATCTTGTAATCTACTTTTTTGCTTCGAATGCGGCGACTGGCCCTCACTGGTCCTGGTGCCATGCGTTTCTCACCCCCCCCCTTGGGCATCGTGCTGTCTTGCTTGGACACTGGCTCTGACTCGCCTGGGGGTGCTTGGTGGGTCTTCGGCTCAGGTTCTGGCTCTTTTGCCTGCTTCTTGTGTTGCTCCAAATCAATATTTTCAACGAACTTGCCCTCCAACTTCTTGAGAAAGGAAGGATCTGTGTAGGCAAGGAGGCTGCCCTTGATGCAGTCATCAATATTCGCGGGCACACGGTATTTCTCCTTCTCGTTGCCCACACTGAGATGATCCAATTTGCGGGTGCTATCACCAGCATCTCTTGCCCCCTTGCCAGCGTGGTAATCAGTGACTGCTGCTGGCAGGTACTCCCCACCCTTCTTCCAGATACCTCCCTTCTTCTCAATGACTTCCTGCTTGGGGGAATAGGCAATGTGCAGGCGGATGTTACCAGGTTGCCCAAAGTAGCCCCCATGAATAGCATCGGCACGTAGTACCAAGTATGTGCCAAAAGGAATGTGAATCTGGATTGGCTCTGGATTTCCCTCTGGCCAGTAGTTTAGGTACATTCCTTCCTCGCAAAGGGGGCAATGCTGGATCCAGAAAATAGTGGTGAGATCAAGGACAGTTGCCAACACAGTGGACATGCCAATCACGTACAAGAATCCAAGGTAGGAATTTGGTTTCGGGCTTCTCCTTGTCAGCTGGGTTTGGCATAGTGCCATCCAGCTTCTCATCTTCACCCCGACTGTGACTGTACAAATCACCATAGCCTTCATAGTCACGGTGAGGTTTCTGTACATATGCCAGGCAGGTCATCACAAACCCTGGATCAATCCTATAGCCATTCCTGCCCAGTGGCAAGCATGTAGCAACCAAATCCAGAGCAAATTTCTTCAGAAGGTCCCCATCACCATTTCCACGTTCATAGCTATTTTCATCCAGCAATTGGGAATCCTCCCAGGTGATGCCAATTTCTTGACGACCCTTTTTTTTACGTTTTTTGGCATGATCCAGAATGTACTGATACTTGCCTTTGCCATTGCTTCCAGGGATGGCTCCGAAGCCCTTAAAGTTTGTTTGGTCCTGTGTCACTCGCCGTTTCAAGATAAGGAATCTTTCCATCATTTCCAAAGGCACTGCGCCGATTTTGAAGATCGCTTCCAAAAAAATGTGCTTGTTCAAGGGTGCCACCAACTTGCTCTCACGGTGCTCACAATACTCCTCTGCTGTTCGGTGCCAGTGTTGCTTGCACAGCTCACACAAGACGACAGGACTGGCAGCTAGTCCCCCTTCTGCATTGCCGCCTTCACCGCCACCATGTTCATTGTGGAGCAAGTGTTTGTTGCCATTTTCCATCATCCATTGGGCAAGCTCTTCAAAGTTGGTTCGAATTTCATCGCCCAAGGTACAGCAGTTGCATTGAAAGGGAGGAGTGGTGGTGGTGGCACTGTCTGCTCCTGCCGGTCCGGTGGCGCCTCCAGCAGGGGCGGCCGCATCACCAACGTCGACGCTGCCACCCTGGCTCGGTGCAGCTTCGTTCTGGTTTTTATTTTGCGTGGCGACACTGGGCTCGGCCGGAAGGACAGTGTCACTTGCGTCGTTGTGTGATGCTGCAGGGGCTGGATTGGCCACCTGGTGGTTGGGAGCAGGAGCTGGCTGCACTTGAATTTCAGAGGTGGCCATTGCCGCTGCAGCTGCCGCCACTGGTGTCTCAGTGGTTGTTGCCGTGATGGACGCCTTCCACCTCTTCCCATCAATCACTGCAATGGCAGCTTCCTCTTCCTGCTTCCTTTCCTCCTCCAGTTGTGCCAGCTTTCTCTTTGCAGAGCCACGAGTCTCCATTTTCTGGACTGGATGGAGTGGACTAACAGGTACAGCCTTCCTACGCTTGGCAGCGGCAACTTTGGGTGTTGTTGCAGCTGCAGCCACAGCCAATTTGCCTGCTTTGCCATCCATGTTTTCACCCCCTTGCGCTGGGGGTCCTGCTGACACTGGAGGAGGGTTTTTGTTGTTGTTGTTGTTGTTTTGGGGGGCCTCCTTTTCGTCCTCTACTTGAGCAGTGGATGCTGGTTCTGGTTCGTCTTGTTCAGGAACCACTGCTGTAGCCATTACCACATCATTGACGTGGACGTCTGCCTCTTGGTTGGTGTTGACGTCTGCCTCTTGGTTTGTTTCCATGGGGACTTGCATCGTTTCTTCGTGTTCCACCTCAGCTTCGGTGCGAGGCACCACGGTAGACTCCTTGATCAGCTGTTGCTGCCCATTGGTATCATGAGGAGTAGCAGCCACCTGTTCAGGCTCCTCCATTTCCTCAGTGGCCAAAGTAGTGCCACAGTTGTTGTTGCCGTTGACCAGTGACTCGGAACGATTGGTTGGAACCACCGCTGTTGTGGTGGTGGAATTGGCAGTTGGGGGTTGTTCTGGTGGTCCACCACTGTTGTTTCCCGGTTCCGTTGTGGCACGTGCATCACCACTCTGGTCGTTCTGGACTGTTTCCTCCTCCACTGGCAACGGAACATCATTGTCGTTGTTCTCCTCACCAATCGTGTCCTCATCTTGTGCATTGGCCGATTCATTGGAGGATCCTCCCGCCACTGTATTGTCCGTAAGTGCTGCACCCACCACGGGCAATGCACCTGGAGCCCTGTTGCCCCGATTGGCATTCGCGGCCAATTCACCCAGAGCCCTGTTTACCCGGTTGGCAGCCACGGCAGCTCCTGCCCGTTGTTTACTCCAGGAAAAATGAAGCTGTTCCAGGAGAGCGATCTTGACGTGGATATGTCCTTCGCTCCATTTGTATTAGTCATAATATTATTCTCCAGCTTGTTTTTGGTTGCTCGTTGGGTTGCAGCCCAAGTTCCAAACAATGCGTCGGGCGTGTACATCCTGGGAACCCTGCAATGGCCATTCAACCATTTGAATCTAATCAATTTTCTGAAGCTTTTGAACCAAAGCTCATCAGGAATAGCAAAATCAGGGCTACCATAATTCACAGCATCCAGCGCATCATGGTATGTCTTCTGATGATCATTATTCCATGGTGGTAGAGGTTCTTGTAGAGCTAATCCTCTGCGATTATTGTGCTGCACAGGATTATTGTGCTGCACGGGCTGAGTGGGCTGCACTGGCTGAACAGGTCGAACATGTTGAAATACAGCCTGGGCAAAGATTTGACCTTGCTGCATGCTGGATGCTAGCATGATGCTGTGGTTTTGTAGCATTACCTGACTAGACTGATACATGTTCATTGCTTGGGCTAAGAGTGCTTCCTGGCTCTGCTGCGGCGTACCAGGTTGTTGCTGAGCAATGGCGGGCTGAGCATGGGACCCGGTTCGACCATTGGTGGAACCAGAGAAAGACATAGCTTGAGCCGTAGCTTGAGCCGCAACTTGAGTAGCCATGGGTTGATTGCCGTTATTGCCTACAGTAGTCGGCTGCTGCTGTGGCTGTTGGTTGTTCTGGTTGTTGCCATGGACACCCTGGAAAGGAGGCATGGGTGGATAGCCGTTGTTGCCTCCATTGGGCACCTGCTGCTGCCACTGCCACTGCCACTGCCACTGCGGCTGCTGTTGTGGTGGCACGGGCAGCTGTGTCTGCCACTGCGGCTGTGGTTGTTGGTGCCATTGCTGCGGCGGCGGCGGTGGCATCCCATGGCCTCGATGACCACCCGGCGGAGGACCACCAAAGCCTTGGGGCGGACCGGACATGACGGGTTAACAGCTGTTAATGCACGCACGAGATAGCAGATGGATTCAAAGCAATTAAGCAATACCAGCTAGCTAGAAGGGGTCAAATCAATTCAAAGGGAGCTACAAACCATATACTCTAATAGCCAAACGTTGGAATTGAATTGTTCACCCTCAAGGCTGACAAGGTGAAGAGGACAGCACCAATGGCAAGGTACGAACTGAGGTCGATGTGAAGGATGACATGGTGGGGAGTTCGACGTAAAAGTATGAACTAAAATAGAGGGGAATTACGCTACGAGGTAGATCTTCATTAGGGTTGAGGTTGATCTCGATGTGACAACGCGATCACATCTCACACTCCCTCATCAACCGAGAACCATCTCGAAATAGTAGCGAATTCGTACTCGAACTGCATCTCGTCGTTTCGTTGTAACAGTACTAGATGTAACATAGAATGGGGCCGGTTCCCCTTGTTGTTGTCGTAGTCACTTCGCGAGCTCGTTGTTGGGTCCAATGCGATGACGAGCGCTGATATGCTCTTTGAGCTCTTCGACGTCGTCCGCACTGACTCCAGGGTAGAACTCCTGGATTGCCTTGATGTAGAGGTGTACGGCAATCGCATCCACCGCGGGCGCGTGCCGGAAGTTGGCAAACTTGATGACACCACGCGAGAAGTGCTTCATAAGAATATCGTGGTCGACGTGCGCCCAGATGTCGCTCGGCTTGGAGTAGAGGTCGACCTTGTTCTCATTCTTGACCTTTCGGTCAGAGATGATAGCGGGGCGCAGCTTCTCGAACTGTTCGAACGCAATCTTGGTTGGAACAGTAGCACGTGCTCCAAGGTCGATCATTTCGTCGCCCTGCTTGAACAGCTTGACCAAGGCATCAGGATAGTGCGAGTAGCACTCCACAGGAGCTGGCTTCTCGTCCTCAGAGTCAGAGTTCGACTTCTTGCGTTTGGCTGGAGTCACTGCAGTGACTGCGGTGTCAACGGCCTCTTTGAACTCGTCGTTATCCATCTTGGTCTTGAAGAGTTGACCGACGGCGTTCATCAAACCACCGTTCTCCACGAACTCCTCAATGGCATTGTTGATGCCGGCCTCGATCATCTGATCGCACTCCGCTTTGGTGTAATAAGGGGTTGACTTCGACATGATATGCAAATATGTAAATGTAGTTGCAGTTCGTAGTACTAGAACTTGTGAGTTCCACCACGAGTAGTGAATGTAGTAGTGAATGTAGTGCTCCACAGCGTCCCTCAGAGCGAAACGTCCACGGTGAGAACCATCTCGCTGTGATCGTTTCATGCTGTAGCGCTAGATCAAAACATATAGCGTGTATCAATTCACATCAATCTCAAACGTGTCGGTGACGTTGAGAATACTCCTCAGCATTCCGAACCCGGTGTCAGTCCAAAATGCGAACTCGCACTGAGGTCATTGCGCGCGACAGCGCGCTGCACGCAGCCATGTGCGGTGTAATGACCATGTTGGACATCAAGATCGCATGGACGCACTCTGGCACGAAATCCAATTCTTCTTTGGGCGTCGACATTGAAATGCTTACTATTACTAAAGGTCTAGACACACTGCTACGAATCAGACAAGAGTTCGTCCCCACAAGACATCTTATGTAGGCCGCCCACACTCAATGACGTCAGGCGAAGCACCAGCCCATGAGGGGAATCTCAGACCTTTTGAAGACTTCCACACACAAGGTGTTTGGTGAACATGTCCGCAAGTTGATCTGCGGTGCCTGCACCTTGACCACCTCGAGCTCTCTGGTTTCAGATGTGCTCTGAACCAGTGGACCTTGACATCATAGAACTTGGACCTTAGGAGTGCTCTGTCCAGGCTCCAGGTTTGCAAGAGTCAAGGCTCCCATGTTGCTTCCCAGACAGTGGTCTTGAATGAAGGTCAGGCACCCTTCCTTGATGGCCTAGTCCTGCGGCTTACAGGTCTGGACAGTATGCGCTCAAAGGCATGAACTTCACTCATGCAGTCGACAGGGCTAGTACTCCGGCCATCATCGTGCTGCAGGCAACGTCTGCTGCGGCTTGCTGGCCCAAACGATATGACAACCATTCAGCAGTATGACCAGCCCTGTCCTGCTCTTGACATTGGCAGGGTCCGCACGATTCTCCTTTCCGTAGAGTCCCATGAAATCAGCATCCACGTAGGCGTCCATCTTGAAGGTCTCCGTGTTCATGGGTTCCATGATCAGTCCTTTTCCTTTGGTTCTATTGAGATATTGACCAATACGGATAAGGGCCAGCTCATGGCTTATCTTGGGCTTGAAGGCAAACCTAGCAAATTGGCTTACTGCAAAACACAAATCAGGTCTTGAGTGTCCATACAGATACCATAGCATGCCTATGACACTAGCATAGTTGAAGTCACAGGTGGCTGTGTCTCCATCCTCATCCTTTCCCAGGCACTCGGTGTCAGGTGTATCGACGAAGGGAAGGTCTCCACAGTGCAAAGCCTTGATGATTCGATAAGTGAGGCCTGTCTGCTTCAGACAGATCTTTCAAGAGTGAGTGTCGGTCGTGATTTCCACTCCCAGAAATCCTGTCACGCTCTCTTCTTCTTCTAACACCATTTTCCTTTTTCTCAGGGCTTCCAAAACTTCTTGGATGTCCTCTTTGTTTCTTGCATAGAGCAATGTGTCATCCACATAAACTAGACAGATGACTTTCTCCGAAATGAACAGACATGAATCCACTTCAGTTGCTGGAGTGAATACAACGGCTTGGAGGTTGTTCGAAAGGTGAGTGAACCAATTCTTAGGGCTTTGCCTTAATCTGTAGATGCTTTTCTTCAGCCTCAATACCTTTCCTGGTTTGGCATATCATCTTGGCATGTCAATGTACAATCCCTGACGCTTCTTCTCCATCTCTGACATCAGGTCGAAACCGGTAGGCTTGTCGATGTCGGCGTGGACAAAGGCTGCTGTGTAGTCGACTTGCTGGTTCTCCAGTCCTAGCTGTGAAGTTAGGATGAGTAGCAATCGTACCGTGGTACAGTTCACTACCGGCGCGTAAGTTTCAAAGAAGTCAACGCCATGGGTCTGCCTGTCGCCTCTTGCGCAGAACCTATCTTTGAACTTCTTCACCAGCCCATTCGGAAACTTCTTGATCCAAAAGGCCCAGGTTCCAGGTAACACATTCATCCAGCTCTTCCTGTCAACTTCTTCCCCAAACATCATTGCTCTCCAATGTGTCTGTACTCTTTTTCCATTGCTTCCCAGAATCCTTTCGAGTTGGGACCAGTGGTGGCTTCATGGAAATTGGGATTGTCCTCATCATTGGCCTTTGCTGCCAAAGCTAGAGGGTCCCATTCTTCTATAGTACCGTGGTAAGGGTCCCAAGTGGACATCATTGATGCTAGGGCTTTCCTGGTGTAGACACGTCTCAAGGATTCCAAACAGTTATCCCAAGTCATGCCCATCAGGCCGGCCATTTCCAAATCTTGTTTCTTGACTTATGGAACCTTCCCGACTGGGGTTTGCTGTCGAACATAGAATGTCCAGAGCGACCGACAGGGTGCCCCTCAAACTTTAGCATGGGTAAACACGGCAGCATGCCACCAGCATGGTTGCAGGAGATGGCGGTTCAGGAACAGCTAAGTCAGCTAATCTAGGGTTTGCTCGATAAACCCTTCCAGATCTTGTCCTAACATGCTCCTGTTCGTCTTCTTCCCCCTCAGACTCTGAGTCCGATAGGTCCACGTCCGGCTCCTCTCCCTCTGGAACAGAGTAATCAGAGTCAAAGCGTTTGAAATCACGGTAGAAATCTGTGTCCCCTTCAACTTGATAAAGAGTCTTGGAAATGCTATCCTTGACCAAAAGGGACTCCCAAGTCTCGGTATCAAACTGGGTGTCATCAATGGCGGTAGACACCGTGGATAACAGTTCATCAAACACCACATTGAATTGGGGGCTGATGAATCCAGTATGGGGGTTCAAGACCCGAACTGTGGGGAAATTTCGGGTGAGGCACCTAAGGTAAATACCTAGCGCCGACTCCGCCCATTGGGCAAGCTCTGCGTCTTGGAGGGGGGGTCAAACACGTAGGTTGGGCAACAAAACACACGGGCTTGTTGAAGCACAACAGCGTTGGGAAGCTTGGTCTAGGTGAAGAGCTCAAGCGGGCACAGGTCATCTCGTGTCCTTGGGGTATGGTTCCAGATGTGTACCGCTTGCTTGAGAGCGAAAGGCTAGAGGTCAGCTTCGAAGGAATCATGCCAATGAATTAACATATGAATCATCATAGCTCGAGCCATTCGAAAGACTGTCTGCTTGGCTCTCTCTGCCACACCATCCTGGTGGTGTGCGCCAACTACACTAAAGGTCAGTGTTTGCTCCCTAAGAGCAATGTCGTCGCGGAATGCAGCAGAGCCGAAAGGATGGTTGTCTGCGTGATATCCCTTGACACTGAGACCAATGCTGCAGAACGCTTCAACTCGTGCTGCCTGAAATCCTCCTCCACAGTCGCCATCGAAGTTTGCAGATGAATCCATATGTAGCCAGTTGCATGGTCCACAAAGATAGATCCACATTTAAACTTGTCATCATCAGACTCCTTGCCGTCCGTGTGTTCTCGTCGTCCGAGAATTGGGCTGTCAAAGTTGTCAATAGAGATCATCTCCGCTGGTGGCAACTGCTTCCGAATGGCCGTTGTGGCAGTGAACCCCCTCTCTCAAACATTTGCTCGTCGGGTCGCTCTAGTCATGCTTGGACACTTGCAGGCGTGGAGCACTGGTTGCTTCCACAAAGTTCGGTCTGGGAGTTTGTTGGAGATCATCGGTGGGAACGGGTACGATGAAGTCACCCTTTGACAGGAAAACATCAGATCCTGTAAATGGAGAACTATATAACATAACGGTAATGCCACAGGTCAGTCTCCTTCGAGTTCCGCAGAGAATCATCGTTCAAGATCCAAGCTTGGCACAAATTGGGGTAAGATAAGTCTCCACTGCTGAATGGAAGGTGGTAATCCGACTATACAACAGCAGTCGATAAACCGCAGTCTTGTAGCATCAACTGTAAGTTGCTCCCTTTGTCATAGGGAAATTCACCCTTGGCTACATCTGCAGTGGTAACGGTAATTTTGTTCTTTTCCAACAGCACGCTTCCACCATCTTGTTCTTGGAAGTACTTATGGGGACTGAACAGCCTAATATTGGCACTAGGGACGTAGTAAGCATCGGTTTGGATTATCACAATCCGACAATACACATCCCTTATGCGCCACTCAACCAGTCCTTTGCCTTTCACGGCTACTTTGTTGCCTATTCCTTGGAGTTCTTCAGTTTTGCACGGCTCAATAGGACGGATGAAGTCCTCAGTGAACGGTGTTAGGGACAAGGAACAGCCAGAATCAATCACAAGGTACGTGCCAATTGCTTTGAGTCTTTTCCATGTTGTAAGCGCCCAGACGGTCATGATCCAAAGGCCTTTTGACCTTGATATCGAGCTCTTCCAAAACTCTTGCTTTTTCATAGTAAGCGTACATGCGTTTCTCCTCAGTTCCTCTTGAGGTAAACATGTGGTCAGTTATCAAGCGCTCTTTGTGGAACCACTCGATCGGTTCGAGGTCATCCAACAAAGCTGCGACCTTACACTTCTTGAACCGTCTCTTAAATTCTCTTGGTTTTGGTTTGTCTTGGGATGGCATAGTCACGAAATCAAACAATTCTTCATAACTTCCCACGACAAACCTTTGTGGCAGCTTGAAGCCTTGGGTTTCATACCAGAACTTCTCCTGTCTAGGTCCTACCAGCCGACACATCTTCGGATAAGTGACTGGTGACCTGTAATAGAACCTCTTCTTGTGATTCTCTTGTATTGGTTGCATGCGAGCAGCATCACAATATTGAACGGACATGACTCGCTTGTTCCTAAACGGACTTCCACAGTCTCGAAAGTGCGCCAAGAACTGTGACCGAGCTTGTGGTTCCAGATCACACCTTATCTGCTGTCCCAGCAGAGCTCTCCTCCGAGGCAGGCTAAGCAGCCTTTCGGGCTCACTCTTCGCTCGCTTCACTCTCTGAACTCCACCCTACATGTGGGTTCTTCGTTCACACCTGCCGACTCGACAGAAGCTCGCAAGGAGCGCTTGAGGCTCACCTTGGCTTTCAAACGGATACGCCATCCCAGATCAGTTGGGACGATACCCTGATAGTGATACACAATCCGTAACGAACCCATACATAAGACCCTAAAGCGGACATAATTGTATCCATATGGTAACCTGTGCCGGTGAATGCACAACCAGTCGAAGTATGTCCACCAATCCCATCCCACTGTCACCAAACGAGGTAAAAATTGGACGAAGAAAGGTAGATGAACCAGCATTGTAAGATGAGGGTCTTGGTAGTCCCAGTAACGAGGCAAGGTCAACCACCCAAGGGGGGGTGTCATTGCGCCTTCGTAAACTCGAACGAAAGCTTGAAGGATAAGAACGACAGGGAAAAGTGTGGTGTAGGAACCAACCACCACCAAATCAAAAGGAGGGGGGATGGTCTGGACCAAGGTGGGGACCCATTGGAATGGATGCACTAAGGCAGCCAGACCGAGAGTCCTAAAACAGAAGTTGGACCAGAACGCAGCCAGGAATCCAACACACGGAGAAATCACTGGAAACTGGCTTGGACCTTAGCCAGACTGGCCTGAATCCGGGCAACTTCAGAAGCCCTGTCTAGTCCAGTGCAGAAGAGGGGAAGAAGAAATGACACAACAGCTCTTGAATGGCAGATGCCTTTTCCGCTTCCAGTTTGGAGGCCGTGTAAGACAGCACTTACTTAATCTGTGCCTTTTCTCGGTTGTGGAGCTCTCTCTGGTCCACCACCCAGCCAGGCTCCTTTCTTCGAAAGGATCATTGGGCGTCAATCTTCTCCTGTCTTGCGTTGTCGCTCGCGAGGAGCACTGTGTGATCCACTCTGATAGTTTCCTGTTGAGCGAGCCTTCTTGGCATCCTTGAGGTCTTGCTTGTGCTTGTCAATCTTTTCCTGATTCTTCGGTTTGGGTCATTGAGGAAGGAGGTGATCGTGGCTATCACAGTTCCAGCGCTTGCGTTGGAATCGGGTACCGGATCACCCTGAGCCAGAGCTGCCAGAGTTTGCATTGAATGCGCTCTGTTTGGCCTTGGTCTTGGTAAGCCATACCTTGTCACTCTGCTTGATCTGACGATACATGTTCTTAGCTTTGTCACATATCACCTTGATGTCAGGACAGATAGGGGTACTTCCACGACAATCAGCTTCAGCTTTGACTTCTTCAATACTCTTGATGAAAGCCTTGTTAAACTCAGGGACACTGGAGGTAGCCAGAATGTGGAGCACTTTCTCTGAGAAGTCGTAGCGGAATAGTTTCATCAGTCATTGGAATGGTCTCTAATCAAGGTGTAAGACGTGGATTATCTATTCACCGCCACAATCCAACACTGCCATGGGATCTTTCCTTGAATCTTGAGTGAATTCAATGACTCTCGCACATTTTGTATGGCACTCTGGTATGTCCTCTGGATATGACTATACAACAGAGCGAACAGCAAAGGCCCACCATTACAGGTCTCAGGCCAGCTGTTATACTCGGGTAACACCTGCAGCAGCAGTTTGGAATCTGTATTGTTCTGCAGAAGAGTGAAGGTTAGGGACATGTTTTCACTCACATAGGGACAGTTGCTTACGCGCACACAGGGATTATAGAAGTAGTTGCTCAAAGCCAAAGCCTCAGGTGTGATCTTTGGAGCATACTGTAACAAATCAATTGGTTTTCCTTCTGTCTTCGAACTGTAGGTGAAGCCGAAATCTTCATCCTTTGGAGTCACAATTTTGAAGACATCCAACAGGTCGAAGTGTTTCATATGAGTCCTAAGGAGCTCGAACTTGCGATCAGACCGCTCAACAGCCGTGATGAGACCATTGGGCGGAGTCATAGGTTCCATACTTGTCCTTCCTAGAACGTCGTAAGGAGTGCCCTTATTGATGAAGGTTGCGCGCCTCGGGTCGAAGTGAACCTGGCCGCTTGCATCACCAAGAGATGGATCTGTTGGTGAGGAACCATTCCAAATTTCATAGGCCCATCCAACAAGGAGTGACAACGTCAGGTCAGGTGATTGATTAGCAACCACCACCACCTCACCACCACCGACCATTTAATCGGACGGGAAGTCTGTCCGACCACCGGATCGAGGCGGTCCACCAGCAGAGCTGGACGGCAGCAGCCGAGCGGTGGGCGTGCAGCAGGTTGAAGCTCCATGATCCGACGTGGACCAAGTCGACTGGACTTACAAAGCCTCGGACTATACGACACTGACTGGCTGCAGGTCCCGCGGGGAACGCGAGCTTGCCCTGGAATAGACGCCTGTCTGTTTCACCGATACTGCGAGCTCGCGCAGAAGTGGGGTACAGCGCTGAGCATCGTGCCGCGAGATAGCTACTCGCACCCAAACGGGACCCCTGAGAATCTTGGCATACTCATGCGACAATACGTTCTTGGATTCGAGGTCGCTAATACCAAACATACCGGAATACCTACGTGTAGCACGATAAGGTAGCTGTGTCTGGCTGTTGTAGTTGGTCGTCATGGATGATACTGTTGTTGTTTAGTCGTTTTCTCGCTGTGTGCTAGCTCGATTTCGACGTCGAAAACATCACCTTTTCAGGATCTTTCGGGTGAGATACGGTGTGTAGATTGACCAGATGGTGTCACCAGCTGCAGTTAGCAGCCGTCTCCTGAACCCAATCGATGGCCTAGGATCGAAATTGAGCTTTCTTCGTGCAGCAGCGTCATCGACGTAACTGCTGTGCGAATAAGAGCTCATCAATCTACCCCTTAAAAAGTAGTTAAGTGAACATCACATCGCCATCTTTGAAGTCTGGAACTCACGCTGAGTCGAATTTCAGCAAGAAACTCGGTCGAAATCCATTCCGCTTACCCCAGCGGCCGAGGGATCAACAACACCCGATGTTGTTGTTGCCATCTCCAAATCGCAAATCGTCCGTCATTGCAGCCGATGTGGGTGTAAGCATAGATCACGGCTTCGCCCTGCTCTACAACTACGCGATATCTTCACTGCGAGACGATGACGCTTTGGGCTCATAACCTACGAACTGAGGTCGATGTGAAGGATGACATGGTGGGGAGTTCGACGTAAAAGTATGAACTAAAATAGAGGGGAATTACGCTACGAGGTAGATCTTCATTAGGGTTGAGGTTGATCTCGATGTGACAACGCGATCACATCTCACACAAGGATCTGAAAGGTGAATGACCCGGCTGTGTTCTCGATCTTTTGCTGGCCCATGGCAGATGGCATGGACAGCTGGGGTAATATTGACAAAGTTACCGGTACTAAACGTACTAAGAGCAATAAAAACCCATATTTCCGAAAACAATGCTGCATGTAGCCCACTGTGCGCGCTGGCCGATCCTATCGTGCCCCTGGCGGCTTGGAAGCACCGCAGGCTGCGCCCTTTTCGCTCGCGCGAAGCTGGGGGACTCGAGTACAACCTTTGTGCAAGGATCAAATAAATAAATCAACACAATGACACCAATGCGGCAGACACCAATGCGGCAGACACCACCGATGAAGCAGCAGCGCTATGATGCGCCACCGGCGGCACCAGAACCAGTACCGTTACCACAATCATCAGCATAAACGACAGCAACTATGAAGCACCGATCCCACGACGATCCTCGTTTGTGACGGAGATCTCAGGAGTTTAACATTACCTCCTCTTTACAGTGGCTACTCCTCTTTCATGGCTGCTGCTACTCCACCATGACAGGCTACCTGTACTGTACACCCTGTTGTTTGGAAACTGCGACAGCGAGTGGATGAAACATCTTCTTCCGATCATTCGATGCGAACAAGCAAACATTGTCGAAACTTTTCCGGAGGTCGAGTCGAATACACATGAGGCACACAAGCCAACCCTCAATCGATCCTCCATCGAATGGTCGCCTCATAGCATGTAGGGTACTAGTAGGTAGTCACCGCAAACGATCAGCACCACCACCGGAACCTCCAGCGTACCACAAGCATCATCAACAACTGCAGAGAGCACCAACGAGCACGAACAAAACCCCGCAAGAGGTTGGTGAGTCCCGTACTCGACAGTACCTACTCAGCAACACCTTTGGCCTTGATCTTCGACCCATTTGCAGCATGATCTTTGATCTGGAGCGATCTGCTGAGGATGACAAACACATAACGATGCCAATTGGAGCAGGAATCGCTTTGGGAGACTTGTATCTACCTCCATGGCCTGTTGGAAAAGATTGCCCTCAGATTGTTGTTTGTGACGTAGAAGAGTTTTTGCAATAAGTAATAATTGTGTATTGTGACGTGTGTGAATGTTTTGTGACGTAGTATTTATTGCATCGAGGTCCAACCTTCAAAATTTGGATAAGCAAAAAAGCCATCAAAGCCGCAAAAGGTACCACCGGTAGGCATATTTTGGTGAGAGATTGCCACCCAGTCAGCCTTACAGACCACCTGGCACGAACTATCACCATCATGCCCCTCCCCCTCCACAAGCCTATCTTCCTCCTCATCCTCCTCCTCCACCACCACCACCACCACCACCTACAGAGACGCCCATGCGACAAGTGCAAACCCAACGCACTCAGGAACCTCCCATGGCGTGGGATGTGCGCTTTAATTGGAAAAATTCAAAGAGGAGCATGGAAATATGGATGTCATTGAGCTGTGGGGGCCACAGATTCAAGTATGTTTTGCTAATTATAATGCATCTATTTCATATTATAGACCCTAGTCAGTTAGATCGAGACTACTAGTACACGTACAAAGAATGATATACATACATGTGGTGGATTGATTGATTATGAACCTTTTTGGTGTGGTGGCATACAATTGCTGTCTTTCTTCAGGCAGCATAGGACATGACCTTGTTTCGTCGTGCCGCACACGGAGATACGGATCGCACCGTTCGCGAGGACAAGTCTTTGGGTGCAGATCGTCTTGTGCCTGTGCTTGTCTTGTTGTTGTTGTTGTTGGATCGTACCGTCACACGTGTGTTGCGAGTGCGAGTGGATACCGGTGGTGTCCAGAGGAGATCGTCTTCACTGTCATCGCCGAGCAAGTCGTCCCCCGCTAGAATATCGGTAAAGACGGGTCGTTGCGTCCATTGACGAGGTCCTGCGTGGCATCGTTCTTCTTCACTGCTGCTGCTGCTGTCCTCCTCCTCACTGCTATGCATATTACTACTGATGGTAGTGGGAGTTGGTGCATCCTCCAGCTCTGGTTCGTCTTGGACGGGTTCTTCTGCTTCATCTTCAGCCGTGACTTGTACTACTTCTTCTACTTGTTCTTCAGATTGAGGTTGTGGCTGCTCTTGAATTACTTCGTGGTCTTCTTCTTCTACTTTGAGGTTTCGTGCACTACCAGTACATGTATTGGTTTGCCATTTCATCAAGGCGGCACTTTGCATGCGACGCAGGATAAATCCATCCATGGCTGACATTGTCGATTGATTGATTGATTGATTGATTGATAGATTGAGTAGTGGTAGTTGGTGTTGGAAGAGCTGGTTGGTTTGAATTATTGTGAGAAGGAAGAGCGATAGATAGATAGATTAGATCAGAGGGGGTTGTCAGTTAGACTAGCTAGTCGAGTCAACCAGCCGGTGTCTGGTTAGATTGATCAATACGAAGGCAACACAGTGGACTGTCGCTGGATAATCCCACGCTTGTTCCTCCAAACGGGATTGTATGCACGAGTTCGAATTTTCCACAAGCAAGCAGCTGAGCATGGCGCATTGATTGCAACCAAGCCATCCAGAGCAGAGCAAGAGGCAAGTGATAACCGGCAAGGCTTCAGTATTCAGTAGTCGTCAGTGGTACTGACTCTACATGCGGAAGCAACCATCCAGAAGGGAGAAGGGTCATTGGCACAGACCACGGTGAGAGCTCTTTTTACTGGCTCCCCTGAATTCACGTTCTATTTCGACGAATGAATGAACGAATAGCCCCAAGATAGATGACCCAACAACCGAACCGACAAACACTCATTCGCATTGGGGTGGAACGGTGGAACTACGCAACGTAACGATGCATCCCATGCGATCTGACTACTAGTAGTGGAAAGCTTTCGTTCTCCTTCCAATTTAGAATGTCGTCAGAGCCTTCGTCGAATGATAGAATGGCCTGGTGTCAACGTGTCAACCTGTAGCAGAGAACAGCAACAGAGCCAGAAAATTTTAAAATAATACCATAGTCTACACTAGCTAGCTAGCTCGTATCATACGTACCGCGAGAAAAAGCTAGATGCAGCTGACAACATCCCAGCAATGCTCTCTGCTGCTGACGAGAGGAAGAGCATTCCCAAGTTGCAGCCATCAATCTCATCAATCTACATCCATACATGTACGTAATTACCCAGTCAGAAGGTCGCTACAAGCAAACCAAAAGCAAACCAAAAGCAAACCAAAAGCAAGCTAGCTAGTTGTCTAGATTACTATTGCTTTGCTTCAACTTCTTGGCTACTAGTACTACTTCCCTCCAGCCAAACTACATTGCTTGCCTCTCACCACGAGAAACTGGAGGATTCGATTCGATTCACTTTCTTGCTGCATCACCAGTGCCGTTTCTGGTTTGGCTTACTTCCCTAAGGTATCCATCCCGCCAAAAATAGTTGAGCCATCGGTACCGTACATAACAAGGAGGATGCGGGGGATTACTACTACTAGTACCAGATGCTACAGTACCCATTGACTTGCTGTTTGGTCGTCGACACTGGAAAACTAAAACTGGATCTACCGGTACCGTAGTAGCAGTCCAGGATACTTTAGATCATGAGGCCCAAACAGCCCGGTGCACCGAAGCAACAAGTGAGCGAGAAGGTCCAAGAATAGATGAATAGATAGATACCGGTAGTAGATGAGGTCCAAGAATAGATGAATAGATAGATACCGGTAGTAGATGATACTAGTACTGTACCGCCTACCTTGCTCCAGCGCTCCAGCACACATACATTCTTGCTATGCATACCTGCCCTTACATCCACACAATGTCATTTACATTCTGGTAATTGCTAACGTACTAGTAGTACTGTAGCTACTCTTGGACGTTCGACACAGGAGCTCCCTCGTTTTACCATGGAACCAGCCAGGTCCTTGGTTTGGCTGGAAAAGAACACGAGCAAGCTACCAGCCAGCCGCACACAAACCATTCACTGCCAGCTTCACTGCCATAGTCGAGCTCATGGTCGTATCCGTCTTACTCAACAGGCAGTACAAGACTTCTCAAGTAGTCAAGAGTACTACATAGATAAATAGATGGCATACATACAACATCAAGTCGTGATGTCCTCAATTGAGGGCTGTCTGCTCTTTTGACAGACAAGCAAAACACCAGTTATCTAGCATGTTCAGAGGAGCTTGCTAGTGATGTAGGCGTATCTCAGCCGCTACTAGTACTACTAGGCTAGTATGGCTGGTGGTCTTGGATCTCATTATCATCATGGCCGCAGAGCGGTGAAGCGACCCATGCACTGGCTGCATGGTTGAGCGGTTGAGCGATTCATACTAACCAAGAGTTCGCACGGTCGATTGTTTCGATTCGGTGGCTTCATCCCAGGGGCAGCCACGTACGGTACATGTAGTTGCTCTTATGCCGTGTCTGATCGAAAGGATACCCGTAGCTGGTCCCACCAGGGCGTGGTACTCACACTGTTTTAGCATGTGAGTATGGGTACTGAGTAGTACTCACAATTCCAAAGTCAAGTGAGTATGGGTACTGGGTAATACTCACAATTCCCAGGGTCAAGTGAGTACGGGTATCATGTGAGTACAGGTACTTTGTGGGTACTATAGAGTACTCACTGAGTACTCATAAATCAATCACTTAGGGAAATTATCTAGGTTTTTCTAGTTCTGGGCTGGGGGCTCATCAATCTTGTTGTAAATGTCCATCATGGCATTAATATCACTGTTATAATCCTCCTCTTCACATCTGCTGGCAGTTAGCTTGAGGAGATCCTTGGCCCTATTCTTAGCCCATTCCTTTCTTGCATCATTGATGCATTGCTTGTAGTTCTGGATGAATGCACTGTTCTTGTAGCAAAGAAGGCGCATTTGGAATGTCATGTCAACCTTCTGTCCATTGCTGAGTTTTCCATCAAACCATGTACAAGAACTGAAAACTCTTTCTTGGAAGGCGTTGCTATCTGGCATTGCAAAGATGCGCACAGCAACTTCAAAGATGATTGGGTGGTTGGTTTTGCTCACCGAGTACTCACCGAGTACTCACTGGTACTCACTTCGAAGTACTCACCGAAGTACTCACCGAAGACTCAAAAAGTACTCAAAATCCGGAGTCATGTGAGTACGGGTACTGAGTAATACTCACATTTTCTGAGGTCATGTGAGTATGGGTACTGAGTATACTCAGTACTCAGTACCCGTACTCACATCGAGTACACGCAGCGTGTATTTCATGTGAGTCCCACACCCTGGGTCCCACAGCAACCATCCAGGACCTGAAGGGGACGGTGAAACAGCTGGTGAAACTCGGTTGTTTTTTCTATTTTTTCTTTCTTTTTCAAGGGGAAAAGCACAAATTTTGCAGATTTATCACCACTTCCCTCATGCACATGTTCGTGTAGTCACTCCCCACTGATCCAGAGGGATCTTGCCTAATATGTCTACCTAGCTCTACCTGGTACAGCTGTACCGGTACCCATGCCGTCCCATAAGCTAAAACTCTGCCATGCCCACCATAGAAGCGACAAAAGCGGTTAGTCGCTTTACTGTGGTGGCTGGAGTGTACTAGAGTGCCTTATCTTGGGAGGACGTCAAGCCCGCCCAGTGTCGCTGTGAAGACCGAGCTTTACCTTGAACACTCCTGGAAAAGTCGGATTCCAAGTCATTAAAGTCATCAACTGAAAGCAGTGGAAATTGAGTCAGAGAGAGATGGCTGGTATGAATACCGGTACGTTTAGAAGGTTGTTGCTGAGTTCAGGTGTGGGTTCTGGAAAAGAGACTCCCACGCTTGGTCCCAGTATTATCTACGGAAGCCAGCAAGGGCCAGGCTAGGGGGCATGATGCCCGCCATGCAAGATGATGCTGACCCCGGCCCCAGATGACGGCGAAGAACGAGCCGCTTTTCCCAGACGCTCACCAGTCCGAAGATTGAACATTCCAACATGCAGATCGAAGACGTAGATGTCCTGGCTAGTATTAGTCCTATGCAATCTTCTTTTCCTTTCTTTTATTGTACATTCTTCGTCCATCCACACCGTCGCCGTGTCATCAATTGAACCTTACATCATCGATCCCGTTCTTCTCCTTCGTCATTCTTCATCATCCTTTACCAGAACTTCAAGAACGTCTTATTGGATCGAACGTGACGACGCCTAGAGCAGGAAACCTCAATCTCAACGCCATCCCTATCAAGCTCATATTTGTAACCCACCACACCGTGACAGTCATAGATGACGTAATGGGAGATTCCCTTGCCATAGGGGATCGGGGCACTTGAATGCGTGAGTGTCCGACTCGTCGCTAGGGTCCTTCATGCCAGCAATCAAACCGTCACACTCTTCCTTGGTAGCGATAGCGGTTGTCTTGACTCCATCGTTACACCTGGATCCATCAACTTCATTTTGCCACACAAGTAGTTTGTAGTTCCACACTTGAAGGTGTACTCGATTGGCTCTTCGCCTTGGTCAACGCATACACCACTGCCATCACAGGTGTCTTGAATGTCACAACCAACAGGAGTGGGGCCGCAGGAAGCACCCGCATCCTCGAAGGAATCGGGTACACAAGTCTTGCTGACTCCATCACACATGTCAGGCACATCACACTCCGCAGCAGCTTCATGGCACCCCATACTAGTGTCAGCAACCACATCAGGGCATGATCCAGTACCATCACAGTAATCTTGGGCATCACAAACACCTTCCACAGTTCCACATGGGGTACATGTATCCTTTGGACCTCCTGTGGAACAGGATCCAGCAGAGCATGAGTCAGCATTTGTGCATTGGTCATCTTATAGCCACAGGGAGTATCATCAGCCTTGTGGACATCCTTAGGACAACTCTTGCTGCTTCCATCACAGAACTCTGGGAGGTCACACTCTCCATCTGCAGCACGGCACTCAAGACTGGTTGAAGCTACTGCATCAGGGCATGATCCAGAACCATCACAGTAATCTTGGACATCACATGCACCTTCAACAGTTGTCCCACATGGGGTAGAAGTACCCTTGAAATCTCCTACAGGATCCAGAAGAGCATGAGTGACCGGTCAGCATTTGTGCATTGGTCACCTGCGTAGCCACAGGATGAGCCATTGGGCTTGTGGTTCAAGAGACAACGGCCGGAACCATCGCAGGTGTCGGGATCGTCGCATTCACTCATGGCGCCGCAACCACAGCTCGTTCCAGAAGGTGCAAAAGTGTCGGTGGGGTATGACTTGGAGATTCCATCGCACATTTCATCGACATCGCACGAATGAATCAACAGCGGCACGACAGAGAGTACCCGATGCCACCGCATTGTCCGAGCAAGTTCCCGCGGAAGAAGTATCATCTTGAAGATCGCAGGCATCCTGAGGTGCAAGGCCGCAGCGGGTTCCATCTGGCTTGGTTTTGGGCATGCATACACCAACGTGTCGGCAAAGTTGCACGAATCCTCGGGATTTCCACATTCATGTCCATCTGCCACCAAGTTGTCCAGGCATGTTCCAGCTCCGTCACAAGTATCAGGGCCATTGCACGAAGTGGATGTTGGGTCGCCACAGCTTTCTCCTGCGGGCTTTGGTCCTCCGACAGTGCATCCACCGTTAGCAGAGAAGGTTGGCGACACAAGCTCCTGCTCCATTACACGAGTCGGGCTTGTTCTGTTATGTACATGTAGTTTGTTGGATTTGGTAAGCATGCGTGTCAACAAGAGTTAGTACAACAAACTCGGGAAGAAACAACGAACGTTGTTGCCGGTCAGTTGTTGCAAAGATTGAGCCGACTCACGCATCCCTTCTCCACCATCTCCACAAGGGGTGCCATTCTCCACAATTATTTGGTTGGTGATACAATGATGTCCAGAAGAACAAAAATCGGCTAACATACAGGGAGTGGCGGGGTTTCCACAAACAGTCCCATCGGGGGCTTCGCCCGAAACACAGGTTCCATGACCATCGCACATGTCCTGTTGGGAGTCCGTAGCAGGTACGTAGTTCCACCAGCGTCTCCATGCACATCTGGTTCGGAAGGCATGGGGGTTTCGTCACAGGCGCCATCGACGCATCCCATGGTAAAACCAGGACTAGCCAGACGGTTCGCCACAGCTGCACGAAGTGGGAGCGGGGGTGGTAGGAGGATCCGTGCGAGGAGGTGTACTCACAGCAGATTCGATTCGACCATTGGCTCCGTGATACAGATGTCAATGTGGCTAATCATCTGCCGGCCGCCCCAGGCGTACTTGCCACCCCCAACAACAGGAGAAGCAGTGCTCGTTCGCCTGGCTTCCAACCTTGAAGGAAATTTCGCCAGTGGCGTATCCATCGAACATGAGAGTGCACGGATCTTCCGGCAACACGCGGTAGGCCGTGAGGGAGCCATAGCAGTTGTTGCTGCATGAATCGACACACTCGTAGATGCACGTTTCTGATGAAGATTGTGTTGTTTATGGTGATGTCGGATGGCTGCGAAAGCAATGCTCGATTCGATTCACCGATCATTCTCGATTCATATCATCTTCTTCGTACATGGATTCGATTCTTTCAAAGAGAGTGTCAACGATCCGGCTCAAGGTCTGCACTTTTTGTTTCATCTCAGCAATGACAGCATCATAAGGGCACATTGCCACCAAGACCCGTTTGGGATCTGTTTGTTGATGTGGTACCTGGTAGCTCCTCATCAGGCCAATCAGGCCAGCCATACTTCCAAGGCTTGATTTAATTCTTCGAAGCGAACGTCGGTCTTTCGGATCAAGTCTTCGACTTGGCTGAACAGTTGGGCAAATTCAGCCATTTTCTTGTTGGTGGACCAACTGGTACCGGTACTGTACGGTAGCTAGCTAGATCAAGCCTCCACCGGAAACCCCAAAAAACACCATCGCCTAAGGTTTCCGTGGCGGTACTGGTATTGGGTCAGTGACTGCAAAGTGAGGATCGAGGGGGTAACGTTGTAACGTTGGGAAGCAAGCCTGTGGCGTGAAGTAAGTCCGTGAACTACCGTGCCACCATCACCTGGCTGAAGCATTATTGCAGAATACGGTAATGCTTTTCTCGAAGAATACATTCCCTGCTGCATCAGTCCATAACAACTCCAAAGCAGACAGAGAGAATGGAAAAGCATCAATAAATCAGAGAGTGACCGCGGGATCGCAACTCAGTGGTGAAGCATGAATAATGAATTAATAGAACCTTACTTTACAGTCTACTTAGATCTACTTTCTGTACTTTATTGAACCTCTTGAGAGAAGCCTTCTGTTTACTTTCCCGTCCAAGACAAGCGATCATTAAAGCTTCATTTGCGCGTGACTCCCCGTGACTTGCCGTTCTGGCAATCAGCTCTTGAAGCGGAAGCCGTAACAACAACGTCATGTATATATCTGTCATGTCGAGCTTTGGACGTTTCCCTATTAATTTTTCTCAGTTTCTCACAATTTTTGAAATTAGGTTCCAGCACCGCTCCAACAACTCCAGAAACCAAACCAAACACAACAAGATGATTGGAAAGCGCAACAACACCAGCAACCACTCCACCAGTCCAGTCCGAGGTTATAACCTCTCTGGTTTTCGCTGGCTACACAATAATCCAAGAGGAAAGAGCAGCTCGCCCATCATCGAAGAGCAACCATCCTCACAGCAACAGCAAGACCAAAACGAACCATCGGCTCACATCCTGATCCAATCAGTTGCCCCAAAAGGAGGATCTGCCGCACAACGCAGAGCACAACGAGAAGCCTTTGAAGATCTTATGCATGGACAGAATGCCCTGGATGTGATCTTGCAAGAGTCATGAAACATGAATTGAGTAATGAATGGACAATGGCCCAAGCTTGAAATTTTGTTTTACTTTCACCCACATCAAGATGATCGCAGCTACGGTACATGTACGCTGGTAAAATGGGCAAACACCATCTCTACTGTAAATATCAAACGACTATAGACTCCATAGCAGTTGATCGACTGACTGGTTCATCGTCATTCAATAGTACTCGTACCGGTAGAGTGTCATTGGAGCGAGCTTCCGGCACTCCCCAGGTAGTAGCTAGCCTGTCATTACTCGCACAACCAAATCCGTCTCTTCTCCGTCATCTTCGTGGTTGCGAGCATTCACTGTTTTCATCATCACGTCTCCTACCAGGTACGGTATCGCTTGCATACCGGAACGAGCGATTCGATTCGATTCGATTCAAATTGAGCCGACTTGACTCCGCGTGCATTACGGCAGTAAAGGTACTAGTACTGTACCCATCTCCAGGCAAGGCAACAGGTGCAAACCAGGCAGTGTCCGACAATAGGCACGCGACCTGCAAACTAGTAGCAACAGGGATTTGCTCCCCGTTGCTCGTCAAGTTCGGTTGCAAGTGCGTCTTGTTGTTGTGCACAGAATCCTCCTGGAGCAATCGCTCCCAGCCAGGAAGTGAATCTAATCTAATCTCAGTTGCCTTCTTTTACCGCTAGGAGCCAGGGGGCACCTACAAGAAGAGCAAGTTACGCGCGTTGCCTAGAAGAAACACAACACCACTCCAGAGACCGGTTGTGCTGCTGTTTGCTTTTAGGCCAGTGCACACTGCAGGTTCTTGATAATGCAATCAAGAGATAGATCGTAATGAGACTTTGAGAGGATCAGATCCATGCTGTGAAGAAGGACTACAAGCTAGATACACCATCATCACGACTCGCTTCTTCAGTTAGTTGCGGAATGGCTGCGCGGCTTGAAACCGGCTACATTCTTCGAATCCAGCCAGCCAGCTAGCAGCTCTGGCGCATTGGAAGTGCCCTTGAAGAGCAAGATACCAAAAATGCATTGCTTCTACGGTGTCACGAAGCAGGGTCTGCAGAGTGTCTGCAGCCAAAGTCTCCTTTGCCCAGAGCGCAACCTTTCTTCCATGAAGCAACCTGGCTGCTCATCTCTACTAGGTACCGGTATCTACCGGTACATGTATGTAGTTGAGAGTTGCTTGGTGAGGCTCTTCTCCTGAGAATACCAATGAATGCATATGAGAAGATTACCCAGGTTCTCTTAGAAAAACAGGAGCAACACATACATCTGCATGGCCTAGCTGCGTTCTTTGCACCGGTGTAGACCCGATACCAGAGCATGCAATTGGGCAGAACATTGATGCAAGCAACTTCACCGCGTTCCACAGTCGTGATCTTCTAAAGTTGCCAATCTGGCAACTGCAACTGCAACAGCAACAGCCGTGGTGAGAATCGGTGCTCTGGAGACTCAATAGTTGGGAGGTCGTGAGAATCTGATGTTCAGCTGTTCAGACTCCCCTTGTCATCCAATGCTTTGAAACTCAGCATTGAACTGTACCAAAGTTAGCTGTCACACCACTTGGAAGAACGGAAGAAGAGTCGAAGAACAGAATTAGAAGCTATTAGAGACTCTGTTAGTTAATGGATAGCTCTCGCAATCAAGATCCGAACATGATCAGGAAGCTATCAGGAGCTCTCACAGTCCATACTCGTACAGTATAGGCCATTTCACTTCTCCCTTTTGTTCTGTGGAACGATGGAGACGAGCAAAGGTGAATAACACAGCGAACATACTGCGAACATTCAAAAAAGCTTCTAGCTAGAAGCTCTTCTAGACTACTATCATAGCTAGCTAGCTAGTAGTTCAGTAGTTCTGGTTGCTTCAGTTTGTTTGTTCTGTCTGTCTCACAATTTCAAGCCATCACAAAACCGCTCCAACAAAACAAAAGCAACCTCTTCGAACAACATGTTTGGAAAACTAACTTCTGCCGATTCCAGCCTCACCTCTTCTTCTGGCCACGTCCTTGTCGGTCTCCGACGTGCCAGCGGATGGGTCGTCAACAAAAGATCCTCCAGCGTCCCTCGTGAGAAGCAGCAGGATGAAGACACGGTGACGACCATCCCACAAGAGCACGAGGAAGCTCTGCATTTCGCTGCTCCTGTTGCTCCTCGTGGACGCCACCGATATCCGGGAGCACGCCAAGCACAAGGCAGATGCATCGAGAGAAGAAGTCACTCTCAGCAGCAAGCACAAGTCACGAAAGGCGCTCGAGGCCATCCCACAAAAAGTGTTCCAACAGAATCTTTTGTGTCGTTTCCACTGCGGCATAGCTGCAGCAGACAGATTACTCCAGCTATTTGTTGGCCTGAAGATACGGTACACATCGTAGACTAAACTACTTTACACATGTATACCTCTAGAGTTAGACAGAAAATTGGAAACCAAATCCCAGTAATAACTTCAAAACCGAGCCGCTTAATTAGCAACACTTCACAACTCCGAACCAGATACATTTTGACTGCTGCACACCACCAGCACGATCTTACTTTGCTGCCCTTATCAACATCTTTGCGTCTGGGGCTGGGCCACCGAACCAGACAGTACTCTGTTCTAGTGTGGCGCAGGGTTTTGGATTGGCAGCATGAACGTCGAGCTCGCCAGAACGACAAGACATACCGTAATCAAACGCTGGTATGCATAAAAGGGAGATTTCGAGCTCGAAACAATCTTCCATCATATGTACAACATGGAGCTGGCAATCTAGCTAGTGCAAACGCGAGACTAAGAGAGGTATGAAACGAAACAGACGACCACCGCAAGATGCAATAAATGGGCACCACCTAGCTAGAGAACCCATTCCAACCGGGCAAGCCACCTAGAACGGAAGGAAGAAAGAGGCAAGGACACGCCCAAATATTGAGCACTTGATCCCCAGAAAACCGCCGAGTTACCAGCGATGATAGCCATTTGCATTGCGCTCGACTTGCGGACACAGCACGAACATATTATTTGACTCGGGCACATGACCAGGATCCACCGAACAAAAAGAGATCACTGTCAAATGCACCGATCAAGAGAGTGCAGGAACCGCAAGCAAGGTAAAAAGAACCATACCACCAGAGATGCTGCCCACTTGTCGGATCCGAAGGAGCGAGCACCGGCCGGAAACCAGGACGTACGAAAGAGACACGATATATTATTACTATGATGAAAGCACAAGCAGGGACCATGAACCGCCGACTACCCGCCTTGAAGATCCACCCCAAGGACCAAGGCAGGAACGCAGGAAGGCTCGACTCGGAAACAGAACAAATGCAAGGCCGTACTGGCCCAGAACAACCAACATTACCTAGAAGCACAGAGAAAAGAGGAGACGAAGGAGTGAGACTATGCTAGTTGGGGTGACATGACAGTTAACGCATATATCCGGCGAATAGCAAATGGAACGGACTCATGAAATGGCCGCCCACTCTACTATCCCACAAAGGCTCGAAGCGGCTCCAAGAAGGAGCACCGGAATTAACGACTTGCAACACGACCATGTACGGTACTGACCTTGTGGATTGGTGTTGAATTGGATGAGGCGTCTGGCATGGAGATCCAAAATGGAAATAATGAAACTCGAACACGAACGGCCATGTCAACCGGCGACCGTTGCCTTCCGAAACTCGAACGTCCTAGCTAGTCAAGACAAAGAGAGCGGTGAGAACGTCGAGCGACCCCACCAAACAGAAGAACAAACGACGACCCGCCAAACAGAAGTTACCAACCCAATGCTACTCAGCATGAACAGTTCCGAAACCTCAATCGGCTATAACTCGGACGCTGAACAAGACCTTTCACCCGACAGAGCCCAGCCCAGCGCTGACTGATGTGCTGCGCCAAACAGAAGAACCGACTTTACCTTTGCACGAGTACGAACCAGCCAACCCAATGCTACTCAGCTATGAACTGTTCCAAAACCACAATCGGCTATACCATGGAACAGAGCACGGCCTTTCACCCGACAAAGGAAGGAAGGAAGAAGGTAGGACGAACAGCCAACCCAATGCTACTCAGCTTATGAACTGTTCCAAAACCACAATCGGCTATACCATGGACCAGAGCACGGCTTTCACCCGACAAAGAAAGGTAGGTAGGAAGGAAGGAAGGAAGGAAGGAAGGAAGAGAGCCATCAGCTATGAACTGTTCCAAAACCTCAATTGGCTATAACATGGACCAGAGCACGGCCTTTGGCAACTCTTTTTGTGAGCATGAGAGGAATTCAATTCTATTTAGTGGAGATTAGTACGATGTATCGTGTGTTTCGTTTCCAAAGGACAACGGCTTCATTTTATTTCTGCGATTGCAAAGCTTCGTTTTGAAATATTTAAAAAATGAAGAAACGGCTCTGATTTCAAAATGTAACGGCTTCTCGGCCAAGGTGCCAAGGGGTGGATTGGAGTGGAGGTTGCTTCCAAGAGATGCCGTGCTCTATCCTCTATCCTAGCCTTCAACAAAGCTTGAGGTTTCCACTCATCGAAAGCAGAGGTCTCACGCGTCATGGGATAAATCTAGCGTGGAAGGAAGATAGAAAGATGAGTGATGCATCAACGGTCGCCTCAGAAGTTGCCAATACACAGAGCCACTGATACTTCCGTCACAGAGAAGTACCATGGTTGGTTGGGGTGGAATACATGTAGATAGCTATCCAAGTACTAGTAGCTCCGGGAGTGAGAGGTATGATGGTACTAGTATCATGTTCGGAAGTGGCAGCGTCAGACGAATGAGAAAAAAAGCATCAGCAAAAGGCAGGAGACTCTCACTTGCTCCAACGGTTGCATGCAGCACCAGCAGAGCTGGGTTGATAGGATGTTGAAAGGTAGGTCGCTATCTTCATGAACCAGGCAGCGGGACGCAAGTCCTTCAGCTGTCCTTCTATGAATGAACGAAATTCCACAGTGGTAGTAGCAGAGGAGGAGGTGTTGATAGAGTAGTTGCTATCGATAGTTGTGTGTTACTACTTGGTTGTTGTTGTTGTGGTTGATTCTACTGTAGTAAGCTGGTAACTGGATAGTCATTCAATCGCAGTCGCGGGTCATTTTTGGTCCCCTCAAGCCAGAGGGGGGTCTATCTCACTCCAGATTGCACTTGGAAACAGACTTCATGAGTCTGAAACAGGATGTACCCTTGATGAAGGTATGCATCATATGCATGGCTACATCGCTCTAGCATGTCATTCGTCTCTCAATTCGTCATTCAACTCAACATGATTTCATTTCGTTCATTGTTCAAATAAATGGCTGCTCTCCTGCTTCTAGCCATCATTCTTCAATCGCAGCTTCAGGTTGCATTCGGGCAACAGCTTCAGTCTCTATGGAATCTTGTGGGAAAACCTAAATCCTGGGCCAGACTGCCAGGACCTCATGGGCCACACAGGTAAAAAAATGGCTCAGCCCATTAGGTCCTGTTGCCAGGGTCATTCTATTCTCTCTTCTTGATCGTTCAATCTCTGACACAAAGTCCCCTCAAACCTGGACTATCGTCATCATCTGGTCTCACAACAGCATCTGGTTGCTTATAGATCCTCTCTAGATTCATCAAATTGCATCTTCCAGCCTGTATCAAGTGAGACGAAGGCATCCAATCCTTGATCATTCAATGCTGTCCTCGTGGCTAGTTCGGTAATACCGATGGTATTCTGTAGATAATTGTTCATGGCTGCAAGATTGCCTGCCATATTCGCCTCCAATTACTTCTTCTCTTGCGGTATCACTTGGATGCGCAACAGTTGTTGGGTCTTCTTCTCTGCTCCTATTCCAACAGCAAAACTGTACACACCCAGACAAGTAAAGCTGTATTCAAGGGAATGAACTCTGCACACCCAGTCTGTGGCAGTATGGGCCAAAACACTTGGATGAGGCGTCCCCTCTCCTTGGCTCAACCGGTTTCTCTGGTGACAATGAGGCAGGAATTGATCCAGACTGGAGGGATCAAAAGTCTCTTCCTCTCCACTTGAGAGGGCCCCTTCTCTTGAGAGGTCTTCTGTTGCTATGCCTCTGCCGATTACTTTCGGGCAATGAGGATCTCTTCTTCTTCTCGTCGTCGTTGGACGAGTCGCGTCGTCTCTTCTTCTTCTCTCTTCTTCTCCTTGTCGCGACGACAATGGCAACGATCGCGACTCTTCTTCGCTCACGCACTCTCGACAAGATCACGACAATGGGATACGACCGTCACTTCGAACGAACGAACGAACGAACGAACGAACGATAGCTTCGAACGGTAGCTTCGAATCGCGACAATGGCGCTGCTTCGTACGGATGAACGAACGACGCTGCTACCGGTTCCTCTTGTTCTTGTGCTTCTTGTGCTTCTTTCGATCGCTAGCTACCACGCCTGATAAGCCGAAATTCCACAGGTAGTAGCAGAGGAGGAGGTGTTGATAGAGTACTGTAGTTGCTATAGTTGTGTGTTACTACTTTTAAAACTTGGTTGTTGTTGTTGTGGTTGATTCTACTGTAGCTGGTACATGTAACTGGATAGTCATTCAATCGCAGTCACGGGTCATTTTCGGTCCACGACTGCATTGGAACGGGACCGAGGATGCTTGGAACGGGACCAACGATGCTTGGAACGGGACCAAGGATGCTTGGAACACGACTGATTCTGAATCAGTGCACATGTGGTGTCACGTGGTGTGGGTTGGCTTGGCTTGGCTTGGCTCATCAAAGCCATCGGTCTCACTAAAGTCTTCATGAATCGCATTCATTTCTTGCCTCCACCGACTACTAGCTAGTAGTCTAATACCACCACTACCGGCCGATGCTACCACTACGCTTACTACTACCGTTGGAATCGAATCGAATCCATGACAAGCCATCATCAGCATTTGGGCCCACTGTTTGGCTTCCACCTACCGGTACCACCACGATGTTGAGTCAAGTCAACGACCGTACTACACTACTAGTACCAATTCCAGATAAAAGGAGGTGAGATGACACTTGCCTTTCTACTCCACCTTTTCCACACTTTGCAATAGGAGAGTGGCAGTCTACTTACTGGATCTATTATTAAGAGTCAAGTGACAGCCAGAGGGGAGAGAAGGATTATTTATTTGTATTCATGCCTGATCCGTTGCATGCGTCTCTATCAATCCTCTCTGCTGGAGCATCCAAGATCTACATGTATTCGATTCTATTCAGCCTACCGTACCATACCATACTGTACAAGACCAGAAGACAGTCCATTGGTATCTCCTTGCTTTCTTGATCCCTCCTTGGCTGCAAATGTTTGGTCCCCACTGTGTTCTTTTCAAGCTATTGGCTACAGTACTCTGTATACATGTACAAGAAGGCTGCTTCTAGCTAGCATACGCTACTGCAAGCATAACTTACCATACTCTACCAATGCCCACACGACAAAACCCCAATTTTGTTCGAAGCATTACATGCAGACCCATCATCTCGACCACGGCTCAGCGTTCGAGAAGATGTCATTGAGGTACAACAAGAGATCGAGGCAAAGGCTACTATGTGTCCTTTCATTCATTCATTCATTGCAAGTCAACGTGTTTTTCTTGGCAGTCAGTTCCAAGCATTCATTCCAGAGCCATTTTCTCCTGCTTGGTTCTACAGTTGCGGCTTTTCTCATATTTCAAAGCACGTTACGCTGCGCACTGCAGACCTGTCGTCATGAACGCTGCCCGCCAAACAAAGCAAGAATGAAGCGCTCGGTGTTGACAAGGAGGAGGAGCTGGAGCTGGATGACACAAAATCATGAACTGCACAGATGCTGCTACTGGTACGAACATGTAGTGGCCTTAGACATGGAGGAGGGATGGTCATGGTAGAAGGAAAAGGTCCACCAGAAGCAATTTTAAAGACCATGGCTCGACTAGCAGCAAACCAATGAGCCGCTGCCACCAACGACGACGAATTTCCCACAACAACCAAGAACACCATCACTGAATCTACCTTCAAAGATTTGCCCGTCGTCATCTCGACCGCGGCTCAGCATTCCGGGGGCCCACTCGGTTGTCGGAAGCATCAATCAATCAATCAGCACGACACTACAGACCGGTAGGAGCGCACTTGGTGGATGTTGTTCGAGAAGATGTCATTGAGGCAGCAGGTTCGGCCCGTGACTGCCAAGGAGCTGGCCCCGCAGAGAATGCAGAGCCATTCCCCCCAACCAACCAACTAGACTAGCTGGAGCATCTGACCCTGTCAAGCCGGATTTGTCGATTCCATCTGGAATTATTGGCAGAATGATAGAACTGACATCCCTACGTTTGGTGGACTGGAATCTTCACAGCGCTATGTCCAAACCAAGTTGGAAAATTAGACAAGTCGACTTGCCTGAACTTGCGCGGCAACTCACTCTTGGGCGGTCCTTCAATCCTGGGATTTCAGCCACCGAAGAGAGCCCTGTCATGCAACGAAGGGACTTCCATCATGCGGAAGCTCTTACCGTACCAGAGGGATGATGTATCAGGTCTGAAGGATGGTACGGATATCGATCATCGAACTTGACACGACCAATGACGAGATTCCATTGGCATCAGCTGATAGACCAGTTTAGCGGTGTTTCGATCCTGGATGATTTCTTTACTCTGTTTTGGCGTTCTTGTTGCATTGACATTTTCTTGACGTCAATCATTGTTGCCTCCATTTGTTGCCAAGGTACGGAGTGTGAGCTCTCGGGACTGACATGACAACCCAAAACAGACCAGTTTATGGCGTCCACAAGAACTGCACACCAGTGCACGTGCCAGGACGTCTCTCCCTTGAATCGATACGAGATGGAAATGTGCATTTTGAGCTGGAGACCCTTATCAAGCACAGCGGGAGCAACGTAGAATCAGGCCATTACATTGCATACCTCAATCCACGGAACGGCAGCAGCAAGTACATCGAGTGCGATGATGAGAAAGTCAAGTTGGTGTCTCAAGATGTGGCCCTTGGAGAGCCAGAGCAGAATCACATGGCAATTTATGTCCGGTCCAACGAAGATCAAGCTCTGCAAAAATGCAGTAGCAGTGGTGGCTGAAGACATCCCAAGAAACAGCAATCACGAATCGAATGACAGCACTCGTACTACTCCAGCGTCAAGCTCCAAGTCTGACGGTGATGGTGGTGATGAGAGCACACCGGCTCAGATTGGACGCCGAAGAATTGTCAGGGCCAAACGTCCTGTGCTTGATGATGCAGCGGCTGGTGAAGATGGCTCTGATGCTGCGATACATGAGGATTCCAATGGGTTGGAGACTCGGGAAGATGGTGTGGTTTCTGACAAGTCCAAACTTTTTGCTGCCACGCAGAAACAAAAGGATTCTTTGGATGCTGATGCTTCTTGAGCCCACACCAGCTGCAGCATCCAAAACCACCAGAGAAGACGATGCCAGTCCCATTCACAAGTCCAAGACTACTTGAGTCGACAGCAAACCTGGATTCAGCAGCAAGCATGTGCGAGGCCAGAGTGATGGTGATGACGATGCTTCTTTGCCAACACCCACACCGGCAGCGGCAGCATCCAAGACCACTGGCATGAGGGAAGATGATTCGCCAATCTTCAAAGACAAAAAATAAAATGAATAAGAGCATAGGGTGGGGTTGTTCTCCAATCCCTCAAAAAGAATCAGCAAGCAGTGCAGTCCCAGTCGATCACCAAGGTAAGTCCCCTTGCTTTCTTCTTGCAAAAACCACAGGCTTCTTTCTCCCCAAGCTCACTAGTGCATTGTTCCAGTCCTCCCCAGCAAACAATGACGACGAGGGATCTACCATTCCTGACAAACACGACGACGAGACTCTTCTTCCGAAAGCAACTCGTCCGAAGGCAAAGAAGGAGGCCGCAATGAACCAGATGGTGAAAACGCAGCATTCATATTTGTAGCGATTAGTACCAAACAGGTACCAAACAGTGGGGGGTCATCACACGGGAGGGAATATATGAATATTTTGGGCAGAATGCTGCAGCACGCAAGATGCATTCATTAGGTCCATTATTACCGCCCCCAAAAGATTGGCAGCCATTGGCTGGACCGATACTGAAGCCGAACTCGATGCCGACGAGACTGCCGATGATGATGAACTGGTGGCTGCATCCGACGACGACAAAGTGTCAAGTGACGACAGGCTGCTAATGGAAAACTGAAGAGCACCTGACAAAGAGCGCGAGTTTCTGTGTGACTTGGGATTCCTGCTGCTCTCGTGGACTCTTTCACTCACTCACTTGAATTGAAACCATGGCAGAAACAGAAACAGACGCCAAAGAAGCAACAGCTCAGTCAGCAGAAAACAATGCTACCGGCCCGTCCATTGATCCTCTTTCAGAGATGCTGCGACGAGTCGAAGACAACGGAACGAAGTCCAAGCCAACGCCAAATCTTTCATGGATCAAGTGCAAGGGTGCATGACTTCTATTCTGTCTCTTGGCGTACAGAGTGAATTTGATAAAGTCTTTGCTCTAGCTAGGGCAGATGTCCACGAGCAACTCGGACATTCGTTGCCTCGGAGAATTGGAATGTTTGGTGGAATTCACCACGAGCTCTCCAAGACCAGGAAGCTGTTGAATGGGTTGTAGAAAGCAACATTTTGAACCTCAAACCTATCAAAGATCCAAAAGCCATGGCCGCCATGACTGTTATACAAATATTGCATCCTGTATTTGCGTCAAGCTATCCGCCATACACGGTATTTTCGAGATTGCATCTAATATGTTTGACTCTCCAATTTGGGTTCTCGCCAACGAGTAAGTGTGTCATCTCCTCGAGCAGTTCAAATAATTCCCACAACTCGACTCGACTCACTGCAAGTGCATCTGACAGTGGTGATGAAAAGGACAAGTTAGCAGCCCAGACTCGGAGTGCACCCGAAAGCGTAACCGCGAGATTGATGAAGATTATACCAAAGCGGCAAGCAAGAGGAGTCTTCGCCTCGAGTTGGAAGAAGAATCAAGCTGCTTCCAATTTCCTTTAGATCTTTCCCGAGGTCGACGATCCTCGGTTAGCACACAAGTTCCAACTCTAAAGAGCATCCTTGAGGACGTCTCGTTCAATCTCGACGACCCTACCATGTCAGCAGAAGAATTGCAACGTTTGAAGGACGAAGTGGATAAGGCGGTTGCTGTTGACCCTACTGTGTCAACAGAAGAATTGCAACGTTTGAAGGACGAACTGGATATGGCGGCTGAACATCACAGTCGTCTGATGCTTCAAATTCAGCAGAAGAGCCAGTTCAGCCCAAACGATGATGCTGATGCCAACGAAACTCTGGCCTCGAAGGGCGACAACGTGGATGAGTCGAGTCGGCTCCTGAGATGACGAGTCCGAGAAGCGCATTCTTGACTTAGCTGCATCGGCTAAGGATGACAAAGAAGATGCTGCGGAAGGCACAAAAGTGGAAACATTGCGGCATTTGAATCTGGAAGCAGCAAAGAAGATGCCGACAAAGAAGAAGCTCGAGCCCCACCTGCATCTTCTTCTGGATCTCCAGGCGACGACGATGATGGTGACCATGATTCTAGCAAGGACGGCGGCGATTCTGGTGACAAGAGCAAGAAGTGCAACAACTGTGGTGGGAGTCAGGTGAACAATTGCATATGTGCAGAACCCGAGACATCTCCTGATCACGAATCGAATGACAGCACTCTGCAAGGACTCAGTATCACCAACAATTCCACCAACTCTTTGAACTACTCGAAACAGTCGTCGGAATCCCAACGAAAGATGGGTTCTTCTCAGAGCCATCCTTTGAGTCCATAGAAACCGAAGACAATACTAAAATGAACGTAAGCCAGGACTGGCTTTATTCTCCAATCCCTCAAAAATAATCAGCCAGTGCAGCTAGTGTCACTGCTGCTAGTGCCCCCACCATGGGATGGGTTAATTTCCTGAAGTGCTGCAGTGGGACTGGGCCAGACTTAAGGGTGACTTCAGCAGATTACAGATCCCACTTCAGCAACCACACCCTGACTTCGGCACTCTGTACATCACCACCAAAGGCTTCTGGAGCCCCTTCTACCCCACCAAAGACTCAAATGGGTTGCTCTGGATCATTTCCAGGCTCTTCCCCAGTCACGTCCCCAGTAACTTCACCAGTCTCGTCTACAGTCACTTCCACGGCATTGCCTCCAGTCTTGTCCCCAGCTTCGTCCTCAGAAGAGCTCCTACTAGAGCCCATACTCCATGGGTCCATGCACCATGATTGCAAAGCTCTGCAGAGAATGGTGTGATATCATTTCCTCCATCAACATACAAGTGGTCCGGAAAACTGAATTTGTCTGGATCCTGTGAGCAGTGAGTCTCAACTGCATAGAATCGACCAGACCGATCTCTTTGACCTTTGGCAGCTCTCTCACAGGACGAGCGACTTCTTCTTCAGTATCGGTATCAGAAAGTGCATTTGAAGATGATTTGGGAGAAGATTGACGACTCCAACCACCTTTGGAATCCCACCGATTGTTACCGCTCCGGGAATCCTTCAGATTAGACTTGCCAATTTTCTGGGCTGAGCTTTTGGACTCTCTCTGGGCACGGCTGGGAATGCCATTCGATCGATTGCTCGAAGTTGTTGGTAAAGCAGACGTTGATTCCCGATTGAAACGAATTCCAAGACTGCCTTGTGGCGGAAGGAAGCCCCTATTCTGCAGGCTGATCAACCCATCATAGTACTCAACCACAGCATCTGCACGTTGGCGAGCCGCTACAGCATCTTCGAGTCTGGGTTCGAGTCGGGATGGAGTCTGGGTTCGAGTCTGGGTATGAGATGGAGTCTGGGTGCCTTGGTTCGTGCCTGTGAAGGAGCTTCAGCGTGCCAAGCAGAACGACAACGACTCATCTGACGATGAAGAAACAACTGAAGACAATCAGGCCATGGATGAAGATGCTGCCCACGAAAGTTCCTCGCAACCACATCCCTCTTTGGAAGATCGACAATTCAACGAACGAGCTCCTTCTACAATGACCTTGGAACAGCTTGAAGCAGATATTATGTCTCTCACAGCTGAATGCACTGATCACCAAGGTATGGTCAGAGACGAAAGCTACGACAAAGTGCTACACCTACAAAAGACATCCGAAAGGAAATCGGACGCCGGCAGAATCCAAGCCCTCTTCAACTGGCCAAGACGGACAGTGCTGTTTCAGAGATGACCAATGGGGATTACAGTCAGGACTCCAGCATGCAGCTCGAAAATCCTGACAAGGCACAATGAATCGCAAGACTTGGATGGGAACTTCAACTATCGAAGTGTGATCGGCAAACTCAACTATCTGGAGAATCCTCGACAGCATTAAAAAAGTGCAGGGAGAGGAGTCGACATCGTATACACATCGGCAGATCACCGATGCACTCACGGTCGGTGGCACTTGTATTGAACCTCTGGACCCGTCGAGTGTCGCCCCAATTCCAATTCCATGTCTATTTTGTTGGTCTCTTGGCACAGCGAAGTCGATGTCGGGCAATCGCATACCAAAAATCCCATTGGCAGGTAATGACTAGCTTTTGTGGCGGTGAGAAGCCAAAGGCAACTTAACGAGAAGGAAGACCAGAGCTTGCACCATCGTTTGTGCCACCATCGAGCGTCAAATCGAATGAACCAGAGCTTTCGATTGAGACCAAGACCGGAGCTCCAGCGGAACTAGATTTGGTGGTGCCGAGTTACACCCGATTCATGGTGAGAGCTGGCAGATCTGGCAAGGAGTCAGGAAAGTCTATCATCCATCGCTCAACAACCTGTATCATTCAAAATTCAGTCTCCCAGAACTGCTGGGCGCAACATAACAATATGCCTCTGCACATTGCTCCCTCGCTCGACTGGCAAAGTTCTTCCGGGGCCCTGGCCAAACTCCCCATCATCAAACAGAAATGGCTACGGCGTAGGTACCAAACTGGCGGAATGGGGCTTTCAGCAAGATTCTTGATGTCCATGCTGTGGTGAACCTGAGGACACCGTCCGTGTATTCCGATGCAGATTCGAAGGTGTAAATGAGATCTGGAACAAAGCATCAAGCAGCTCACTGACTACCTCAACAATGCAACTGACCCATTATCTCCAGCGTCCTTCGTGGCAGTCTATCGACCTGGAGTCCTATCATCCGACCGTTCATGACCTTGTTAGACAAAAACATCACATTTGCTGAAAAATCTCCTGGAGGGCCTCCGAACAAAACTGTGGAGAACATCCCAACACGCCTACTATGTTGAACACCTATTCAGAGGTCTAGTTGACGCTGGATCCGAGGTTTACACATCCAACTGCACCATCCGGGAGGCATCGTAATGAAGTCAAACACAAAACTGTGCGCGCCCGACAGCAGAGAGCTCTGTTCAACTCAAGCCAATGCTCGAAATTGGCAGCGGTATAGAATCAGGCTCATACATGAGTCAACAAGACGACGGGTCAACGACGTCCACCACAGAAGCGAGAACACACTCAACAACGAACACTTTCACGGCGGCAACATGAAATGCTGGCTGGAATGGCCACTGGCGGCGGATGGATTTGCCTGCTGCTGCAGATTGCGACATCAACGACAAGATCGCAACAGAAGAAAGCAACAACAACAGTGCGTTCGCGCTCTTTTGGAATGCAAGGAACTCGGCTACTTGGTGCTATTGGAAGCCAGTAGGTAGACACAGCGAACTGTGGAAATATGATGTTTGGCCGGTTTACGTTCTACATCTACACGACGTGCCATTCAGCTGTGCCTATCTTCCACCACCCACCCCAAGTTGTCCAAGGCGCCTCTAGCTAGAGGCTTGCTCGTGGCTCCTTCGAGCTCTCACAAGACCATTCATACTGGCAAGGAGGCCGTGAACCATCCAATGGAGCTTGATATCTACCACAATGATGCAGATCCTCATTCTAATATAGTCACTATAGGATGGTGTGGTATCTATTGTTGTTAATGGTGTGGTTGAAGTGGTTTTGCGCCAATTGGCAGCAATTTGGAGGGACCTGGTACCATTCCTTGCCTCATGTGTACGTTTGCCATTCATTGCTGGCTGATGTGCAAGGAATGTGTTCGGTACAAGAGGCAACAATGAAGCAGGTACTGAGCTGCCGCCAATTGGCACGGATGTCAGGCACCTTCGACGTCCCATCATTCATTCCCGTCATTTCTCCCTCTCAGACTCCAGCCTTCCAGCCTAGGACAACTGTTACATGTACCACAAACCTTCACATACGAACGTGCAAAGGAACACACAGCTGATGGCCCATCCAAGCTCCATTTTGGGATGTACAAACAGGAGACTTGCTGAGGTGGATGCTGCCGTGAGGTCAATAGTGTACTCAACTGGGTCCACGAAGGAAACGTGGGCTCGATGTCCAGCTCCTGAAATGGAAGCGATATTTTTGAGCTTCCTAACTCAGGACTATTGGAAGCGAGATTTTCGAGCTCGCAAACTCTGGACTATGGTATGGTCAAAGCTGACTTCAATATGAACAACAAAATGTGCCCACCACAAGGTGTGCTACAAGGGATTGGTGCTGAGCCTACTGGCTAGTTAGCGATCAGCACGGCAATGATAAACGCGATGTCTGCACTTGGGTATGGGCAGACCCACAGAACCCTTATCAAACAGAGAGCCATTGAAATCGTCTTCTTTGCCTTTGTCGACGATACTGATCTCATGAACTCAAATGACGACCCTGTAATGTCCACCAATGAACTCATTCATCAATTCCAAACAGCTCTCTCTACATGGCAAGGTGTGCTGCGAGCTAGCACCAGAAAAGAGTTACTGGTATCTCGTGGAAGTGAAATGCCCTGCAAGTCAAGAAACTGCGGAGGGCTGAAGCGAGGTATTGCCTTACGAGCAAGAATGCTCACCGGAGACGCTAATTATCCTAAACGACTGCAGACTCTTTCTCCGTGCTACCACCCTTTCCGATATCTGTACTGTGGATGGACACCATCAGGAGCACTCAGCGTGGATCGGCAAATCTCCTTAAACACAGACGTCAATTACACTGGCGCTAAAAGACACGATCAAGAATGGGTTTGGTGGTACCATGCATCCAGTTACAGTTATCTCAACCACTGGCGTAACTCCATGCCTATCGACCTGGAGTCCTATCATATCACACGAAATTATTCGAATGTTGAAACTGGAAGTGGGTACCTGGCAACAATACTTGCATGAACAAATGATACAGTTCGAAACCGGCTAATGTCTGCTTGTGGTCATGGTCTTTGATCCCACCGTTCGACGAAGTTTGGTGCATCCCATTGTCAATACAACGCTTGTCTTTATGGGAGATCAAACGGTACCATTCGAAAAGTACATGCTCCGAGACATGAAACTGGCAGCTTTACATGCAGACTATTCGTTTTCGCGAAGTGTTAGAGGCAGAACGAGGATTTTGTGTCTGAGCTCCTTCAATCTCGATACATCCCGAAGCAAGGACCAACGTCGGGATTGGCTTATGGTTAAATACTGTTGTTGCATAACACCCACATCTTGGATCCTTAAATTGTGACGTTGGTATCAAAACTGGAAACCTCATCTTTTCATACGAGGGCGTATGGCAGGTCGGGATCAACACCAGGGGCGGTACACAAACAGCCAAACGCAAGGGTAGACTTCTTTGATGGTAGTCGCAATGAGACCCTCGGGGTACACCTTCAAGCGGAGTTCAAAGGGTTTCCTTCGCATGCCACGTGAAGAGGTGTAAATCCCTTCCGATCGGGTTCTAAGACGGCGTAGGGCTGGGCGTCGATACAATAATGGTACGCTCCACTGGACAGGTCGCAAACCATGGGCCCCAGCACCCGAGACGATGAGTTGACTCAAGAGTGCGCAACAAAGTCAGAGAGAGGCAATCATGCCCAAAACCTTGGAGGCGAAGCTGACATGTTCTAACACATCGAGGATACCATGCATGAACCACTAGAAAATCCATCCGCAGAGCTCCTACACTACTACTACGAACTTGGACACGTGTCTCCTAAGCGTCTGCAGCTAATGGCCCGACAAGATACCATCCCACAACCATTGGCAAAGTGCTGTGTGCCAATTTATGGACCGTGTCTGTACAGAAAGAGTACCAAGAAAGCACGTCGAACCAAATCATGCAGAAGATTACAGTCACTTTGGTTCATGGATCAGGAGTTTGTGTCTCAGTAGAGCTCTCAGTAGACATCTCAACATCGGCAACACCAGGGCTGGGGAGCTCGCTTCCGCAGGAGTCGAGTCAATGCACATCATCAAAATGTGAAACCAGAGCGAAATATTCGATCATTGCTGCAGGACCTTGCTGCACTACTCTCATTCAAGCAAATCACTGATGAAGTGCTCAATGCACAAAACGAGTTGACTCCACACTAAGTGTTTGCGACCAGCAACAATGGTTCACTTTTAGATGTCCTGTGTATGTCTTAGCGGATCCTCGACAAGCTGCCAATCATCAAAACAAGTTGAGGGAGAGGAGGTGACTTGGCATACCGATGCACTTGCGGTCGGGTGACACTTGTATTGAACCTTTTGACTGGTCAAGTGTCATCCCTAATCCATGTCTATTTTGATCGGTCTTTTGTCGACACAGTGCAGTCAACTTCAGCAGGAATCGACCTTAATTTTAAAAGGCGTGCCGGTTTGTAGATGGCCACTGCGACAACTACACAGGAACTGGATTACGTTTGCCTTCGGAGGAACGTTTGCAGGCTCCATGAACAACGCTGCCGAAATTAAACCAAGACAAAGCGGTCGTTGCTGTGCATCATATCCATCTTCCCCTGTACGCAGCTACGAAGCGTCCAACATCTGGATGTACTGTGTCTCAATCTACGATGTCCAGAGCTTTGGAAAACCTGACCACAACCATTAGGAAATGATACAAACCCAGCTTGGCTGCGACGATTCGATTCTGGCGAGTAAGACGACAATCAATGCATGCGCGTTTTTGCTGTTAACTGGGCCTTTGAACATGAAAGGGTGAACGCTTGCAGATCCAGAAGTATGCTGGTCGTGTAGCATGTAGTGCTCATGTAATGTGGATAGGAGTGGAACGTGAATCTGTGATCAAGGAGCAGTTGTCTGGGAGTCAACCGGACCTCTTTGCCCAGGCAAAATAAGTTGGTATTCCACAATACTTGCACGGCCTTCTGAATCCACCCACAAGTGGACGCTGAATTCATCCTCAAAATCATCACCAGTCAAGTTCCACATCACAGTGCCAAGCGAGTCTTCTTGTGTTGAAACTGTTGCATTGGTGATCGTGAACCAACCTAATCCAAAATTACAGCAAGTTCCATCGCTCAGGAGATCTCTTACGGTGAACCTGTAGGCTCTATCACTGTCCACACCTTTCTCATATGAATACACATGTTCCTCGAGGTTTGGGGTGCCAGAATCAATCATTTGCCAGTCCCCTGAAGAAGTCATTTGGCTCCATTCCCACTCAGTTTCAAGAGGCCATCTATCTGTCCGGACGTTCAAAGCAATGATGTTGACAGCATTGATTGGAGAAGGGAAAAACCCGGGCCATTCGTCATCGTCCACGGAGGGATCAAAGTTAGCGAACATAGGGGCATCAGTCGGACCATCCGTAAATGTGTGCTCCAGCACTTCTGCACGGCCATTTGAGTCGACATACAAATGAACGTCCACTCGGGATGCCAGTTCATCTCCTGCCAGAGCCCACATCACAGTTCCAGGAGAGTCTTCTTGTGCTACGGTTGCATTGGTAATGGTGAACCAACCAAATCCAAAACCACAGCAAGTTCCATCAGACAGAAGATCCTTGATTGTTAGCCGATAAGATGCAGAACTGTCCAAGTTTTTTTCGTAAGAGTGGACATGCTCGTCAAGGAGAGGATTCCCAGCATCGATTGTTTCCCATTCATCATCCACATTCAGTTTGCTCCACTCCCATTCAGTCTCATGAGCGTATTCATCGGTTCGAATGTTGATGGTGATTGCATTTGTGGAGTTGACAGGAGTAGGGTACACACCAGGCCACTCTGGGTCATTCAAAGCGGGATCAAAGCCCAGATTCAAAGAGACAAAAGCTGGGGTGGGAGACGGACCAGGTGAACTCGTCGATGGTGCTTGGGCACTGCTTGCCGGTCGGGGTCTTGGGGGTCGTGTCTCGCCTCTGTCATCTTGACAGACACAATTGGTACACTCCACGGGGCAGGAGATCTTGTAGTTGCAGTCGAGTCTGAGGGTTCCTAACACGGGGAGCGTGCAGACTGGAAACGCACATGGAAAATGGAGCGGTTAGTTATCATGTTAGTCTAATTACACGCGCAAAGAGAGATATTTGGCAACCTACCTGCAGCTGGCAGCGTGCCCGACAAGTTGTTTGCCCAGAGGCTCAGGTTTTCCAGGGATGTCATGGATGCGATTTCGCTTGGGATTGTTCCTATTGGGACGAGAGCGTGTGTTCATTCGAAGTGAGGCAGTGCAGTCAGGACGACATTCCATTTTGCAAGTCAGCAATTGGGTCATGCGGCAAGCCTTACCAGTCAAATAGTTGCCGTGGAGAACCAGATACTTGAGATTGGAGAGAAGGCCGAGCTCAGTTGGTATTGTACCTAAAGATGAATGAGAGAGTTTGTTTGTTCGAAGCAACGCATTGCGGTCAGAGATTGTCCACGGACCAAGCAATCGACCCTCCATTCCGCAAGTCAACATATGTTCCTACCAGTCAAATAGTTCTCCCTCAGGTTGAGGTTGGTAAGGTACTGGAAGTCGCTCAACCCGGTTGGTAGGGTTCCAGAGATTTCGGAGTACATGAGTTTGACCTCGGTCAAATCCGTCAGCTGTGCCATCTCCGATGGTAGCACCTGGAGGATATCCGTATTCCAATTGTTGGACACCATTTCAAATGCCTGCAGCGATGTCAACAGAGCCACCTCCGGTGGCGTGGTTCCGCTCAGCATTTCATCTTGAAAGGCAAGGGCGAAATATGTGATTCTGCCATCATCGTTACATCGATTTCGTCGGCTGCCTGAACCCCAATCGCAGATGGGTACGGTACGACTGAGCCAGTTGTGATCACCAATCCAATCTTCACCGTTGTAAGAGTAGTAAAAGGAGGCGAAAGCGAACAACTGTTGCTTTTCCCAATCCAACATGGTTGTACGATAACCGGGATACAACTCAAGCCAGGACAATCCACGAGACTGCGGAGAAGCAGGATCAGCCAAAGCTTCAAGCGTGAAGTCTGGTAGGTTCTCTGGGAAGGAGGCTTGGGCCGTCGGCAATGGTGTGGGCGTAAACGGCGCGGCAGTGGTAGGAGGCAAGGTTGGTTCAGGTGTTGGTTCAAGCGTTGGTGGCTCGGTTGTTGGTGCGAATGTCGGGACTACGGATGGAGCCGAGCTGAGTTGACTGGATGGGGCTAAGGACGGAGCAAAGCTGGGGACATTAGACGGAACAGCAATGGGAACGGCCGATGGGGCATTGCTGGGCAAGGGAGCTGCTGTGAGTGGTTCCGTTGGTTGACTTGTGGCTGGGGTTTCGGTCATAGTCAAGGGATCCTGCGTTGGTGTATTAGGTTGAACCGGAGTAGTGGTGGTTGGCAATGTTGGCACAATTGGCATGGGTTCTGGTGCGACAAAAGACGCTGGATTATCGTCACGGTTGTAGCCAATCATGAGAACAACCAGAACCACCACCACAACTATAGCGACAAATACGAAACAGCACATGGATACCGCAATAGACAGAGCACGTCTGTCCATGCCTAGTGGGAAACCGGTGTCAGTGGATTCTTCTTTATCAGGCACCAAAGTGGCCACAGCCAAAAAGTCCTCCGCATTGGGCGGCTTGCTGGAGGCATCATCTTCTGGCTTGCTGGAGGAACCTTCCTCTTCAGCACTTGCGTCATGGGGCATCAGTGGCTGCTCTTGATGACGTCGAGCATCATAGTGCTGCCGTGGCACGCGAAAAGACGCTGGGGTATTCATCTGGATCGCCCCCGGCAGCTGACCAGCAACCAAGTCCGCGTTGTTATGGTTTGAATCATTCATCCTTGAACTTTGAGACATGCGACGACGAGTGTCATCCGAAGGTGGCATTTCCCTCGGGGGGATACGAGCGATTGGGCTGATAGTATTTGGAAGATCAGTGCTTGATGTTGTGTGACAAGACGCCACAGGACCACCCGCAGCATATTCCTCAGCTTTGACTGGACGTCTGCTTGCACTGGCAGTACTACTCGACGCAGTCGATCTTGGGATTATTTCATGGCGGCTTTCGAAATCGCTTCTATTGGAGGCACCGCCGGTGCTACTGGGGTCTCTTGCCACTCTTGGTCTTGTGTCCCTGTCGAGGGTACTAGACCGTAGGATACCACCGGAGGGTTCTCTCACTCGAACAGGTCGATATTCCGCCGAAACTGGAGGTGCATGGAGTTCTTCTACATCATTACCGCCGTCAGGATCATCCGCCATGTCCCGCGTCTTGAGATGAATCATGGTTTCGCCCCAAAATGCTCCTCTTGTTGGCTGTGATGGAATTTGCAGAACCGAAGTTGTTTCGTCGTGATCCACCAGTGGCGGATCTGGAACAACAGCACTGCCCATTATGGGAACCACCACCATCGAACCGAACTGAGGTTCGATATCATCATCATCATCTTCGGAGTCCAGATCAATGGCGATGGGAGCATCTCTGCCTTCGCGCAAACGCGTGTTACTGGTCCTCATGGTGAGCGTTTTTAAAAGTTTGAATGAATGGAAAAGCATACAGGACGAGTGTCAGCCCCTGCATCTGCAGACGACATTGTTGCGAAGGATTTGCTTCGCAAAAGAGTCAAGAAGGGAGCAGAAAAGGCATCTGGGGTTCATCCTTCATTGCTTGCTAGCCTCCTCGTCTCATTAATCTGTCGGCGAGAATATCCATGACTGACACACCCCAAATGCGGTTCTCAAACCATTGAAAAGAGAACACTGACATCTCTACGGTATGGTATGGTGGTACCGGCACCGTGTCTTTTAGATAGCTAGCTTCGGCTTGAATATTTCTGTGGACTCGACTCACCGGCTCTAGAATCCGTTACAACGAATGGTGACATCGGAAGCTGATTATATAATATTGACTTGTTTGTCTTGGCATTGCCAATGTTTTGCTGCCATGAAGTCGAGGCTTCATCGAAACAGTCTTCTGGTTTTCACACATTCCTTACCGGGCTTCCCTAATGGATACCACGGGTACGAATAAAGCTAAACAAATACTCGTACTGTAAAGGTTGCATTGGCATTCTCACGGATCGGCGAGAAGCGTTGCGATGAAACTGGGCGATACTGTCACTGACGGTAGGTATTGATCGGCAGGAATTCGACACGAATGGTTCACTTGATCAGTTTGGTCTCTGAAAAGATTGGTCTTACCAGCATCTGCTGAATTAGTGAAGGCTTTGGACAGCTGCAGCAGCAGAAGTGAACATGAAAGCGGCGAGCGATGCAACACTACTGCTGGCTCCGCTGGTTCCGTCACCGCCAGTAATGCTAGCGGCGCCAGTAATGCTAGCGTCGCTAGTTCCGTAACCGCCAGTTTCAAACCCAGGCAACAAGCGATCATCGGAGGAACATTTCTGGTAGTCGACCGTCGTGCCCTGAGAAAAGCCTGGCTGACAACGAGGAGGATCGCCCCTTGTTTCGGTGATGGCGTAGTCCGAAGTGAAGGTGGTCAATTGGTTGGCATAAGGATCAACTGTGCCGAACGGCCATTGCCAGAGCGCCTTCCCTTCACACTCCGCACTGAAGGTGATTGAAAATCGCTCCAGTGTCTCGGAAGAAAACTCAGTTGCATATAACCTGGCAAAACTCTCTGATTGCTCTTTTGCAATGGAGGCTTTTACGCCGCCAAACCCTTCCACTGCAATTCCACCTTCGACACTCGTCGCGATAGCCGTGGACCATACATCAGTTTTCGTCTCCGCCTTTGTCTTCGCGGTGCCACGCTCCAGTGTCATGCTCTGCTCGCCAACTAGCTATGGTGCGCATGTATGTCCACCGTCCCACAATGTCAATGGGCTCGGATGCAACTGGGAAGCACTTGAAGCGGGCATAACCACCATCGCAGTCGGGAGCTTCGCCTGACGAACAAGCACCACAAGCATATCATTTTCTCCACATTCATAGAAGACACGAAAGCCAAAGGGCGCACTCCAGGTGCCCGTGCCTACCAATGCAGTGACGGGGGCTGGTTCGCACAGGATCCCGGTATGGGCGTCTGGGTCACAGAAGTGCACGCAGTCAGCAGCCTTTCCACCGGTGCATATTCCTTTCATGACATACCCCGGGAGGCATTCAATGTTCAAGCCAGCCACGCCCGTGGTTGTGGTCAACTGTCGGTGGTCATCAGGAATGGTGCCCGCAGCGGTCAACCGCCGATCATCTTTGACAACATCGGCACAACCCACTTGCATAAAAGAGCTATAAAAAGGGAGTTTAGTACAGTAACAACTCGGGTTCCGACCAGAAGTGCAAATACCCCTTACGAGCTGTTCGTCAGGGCACTGCACGAATTGGTTGAAGGGGTTTGTGCCTGTACTAGAAAGCCAGTTGAGTCCTTGCGAGGAAGCAACTCACCGGCTGCCTAGCTAGCTAGTTAGGCTGCGGGCTCTTGACAACACTCATAGATAGTGTTGGTCCAGTCCAGACTGGTTGGATGCAGATTTTGTGCTGGAATGTTGGCTATCTATGATAGGTACAGTACTGTACTAGCTAGTACATGTAGCTTGAGATCTGACGACGCGGATTGCGACGTCACTGGAGACAATCGAACCTCAATCGAATCGAATCATTCTCTCGGGTCATGTTAAAAGTTCAAAGGGGATTCGAGCTCGACAAGCCAGCAAGGCCCAACAACAAGGACTGAGGGTTTGAGTGCTACATTGTGACTACAATACTCATTATTCTATCTAACAAACCCAACTGTTGCTATAGCAACATTTCAATCTCCTGCAGTTGAGAGAACTATTTCCTTGCAGGATTGGAAGCAGGCTGATTATCCAGGTTGTTCAGGATATCAAAATCCCTCACAATCTCACACGCCCTCAGATGCTTCCCGGACTGCTGTAGTTGTTCTCTCGTCAAGGACTCTGACTCCCATTGCATGATGCTCTCTCTTTGAGACTCGAATAGCTCCAGTGGTTGTGGCTTCGTTGCTATGTCGGCTAACTGATACCTACTTGGGATCTTGTGCAGAGTAATCAGTTTCCTCGTGACATAGCTCCTGAAATGATGCATCTTCACACAGATGTGCTTCGTTCGAGGCCTCATCTTAGGTTCCTTTGCCATCTCCAGTGCACCACTGTTGTCTTCGAATACTTTGCAATGCACTACCGGTGGTTTGTCGTGTATCCTCCATTTGAGCTCCAACTTTGACTCCTCTATCAGCTGCATCATCCCAATCACGTCTCGCAATGCTTCTGACATCGCATTATACTCTGCCTCTGTAGTTGACAGAGCTACTTCACGCTGTAGTTTTGATGCCCACGTCACTGGACATCCTCCATACATGAGGACGAATCCAGTTCTTGACTTGGCAGTGCCTGGGTCCACGTCAGCTGTAGCTCGATTCCAATTCCCAACGAAATCGGCGTCAACAAACACATCAAAGGAACAAGATGTTGGATTCAGGATGATACCCTTATCTTGTGTCCCAATCAGGTACCTTCCGATCCTCTTGACTGCTGCTGCGTGAGAGGCTTTTGGCTCTGCTGAGAACCTCGCGCACTGGTGTACTGCATAAGCAATGTCTGGTCTCGTCGATTTCTCCAGAAAATTCAGCTTTCCAATCACACTCCTGTATCTCCAGTCCTGGTCCATGTCCTCTCCATTGATGTCGCGTTGTAGCTTTACTGTAGATAATGCAGGTGTCGATTGTTTCTTTGTTCCGCTTGCGAATCCCAAGTCATCTATGATCTGTTTGATCATGTGTGGCTGTGACAGCTTGATCGTTCCATTGTCGAGTGGCTCCACTTTGACTCCAAGGTAGTCCGATAGTGTTCCTTCATTGGTCATGTTGAATGCTCGATGCACTGTGCCGCTCTTGTCTTTGCAGGGACTAGCCATTGAATTGTAGGCATCATCGATCTCCTTCGTGGTGGGTGCAATAAAGATCCCATCGTCGACGTAGATGAGGAGCACAAGGGACCCTTTGTAATAGACACACATGTCCACCGTACTTTGCTTGAATCCTCTGGCTATCAATCCGTCGTGCATGTATTTGTTCCATACTCTTCCGGCTTGCTTCTGCCCATACAAATTCTTCTCGAGTAAGAGGCATTCCTCTCCCCTGTATCTTCTCTTGTCGCTTGTTTGCTCGAGCCTGGCCTTTCCTGACGTTCGGTCTACCTCAAAACCTTGAGGAATTTCCATGTACATCTCACATTCTATGTCCGCTTGTGGAAAGGCCAGAACGAAATCCACTTGCCTCGATTTCCACCTGTTGATCAACATGAGAATGAGGAAGGTCCGGATGGTCGACCAACCCACAACTGGAGAATAGGTCTCCCAATAATTGACGAATTGGGTCTGCCGGCCTCCATGAACGTTGAGCCTTCCTTTCCATTTGTAGATTTCCTGAGTTGCTATTCTTCTCTTCCTTCTGAAAGCCCAGACCGCTGGCAAGAGCTTCATGCCTGGTGGCATGTCCGATTTCTTCGCGATCTTCCAATTCTTCATTTCCTCATGCGACCGAATCTCCTTGACCATGGATTCCTTAAACTGTTTTGCGTCATCGCCTGACAGCGCCGCATCAATGTACATGATGTCTGGATTGGTCGAGGCTGCAAATGCGATTGGATCTTCCATCTCATCCTGCAAGTCGTAGCCGTCATCGTGGAACACCTCCCACGGAATTGCCGAGTAGGAGACTTCGAAAATGTCGTGATTGCGTGGACGTCGCACTCGTCGCCCAGCCCTGGTCACAGCGGGTTGTTCCGAATCCGTTGCTTCGTTGTCGCTAGCGGGTTCGTTGTCTGGTCCGTCGCCTTGGGATGTTGGTAGTTCTTCGTCATTGTCTCGTTCTTCTTGCCTTATTCCGAAATCCTCGAGTAGGACGTCGCTCGCTCGCAGGGCAGGTTGCTCCTCGTTGAATCGAGTCTCGTTTCGATCGTGACTAGGCTTCGGAGTTTTGTTGTTGTCACTTTCTTCCTCCGAAAAGGGTCCACGATGGCGCTTTTCTTCCTCATTTCCGGTGAATCCTGCCTTCTGCTGCCATGAGGACTTCGGTAGATCGTTGCCTGCTGCTGGTCTCAGCGTGTCGCAAAGGTCGTCGAATTGACAGTGGAATTGCGGAGATACTGCGACGGGATACAGCTTACAATTCAGCTTTACAGCTTTACAATTGGCAGGCTTATTCTAGAAAATAATCAATAACTGCTCACTTATTTGGAAATACAAACTTTACATCTCTTAGATCCCTAGATTAATCAATGCACAATGGTATTGTCGCATGGTAGCATGCGAGGTTATGAGATGTTACTCATTCTTATTCTTATATGTCTACCCCTTGTTATCATCAGTGGTAACCCCTTTTCTCGACTGGATTCGCTCGAAAGCAATCCCCTCGACCTTACTCCTATTGACGATCGTAATCTCAATGAGTATCCTATCTTGGATTCGCTCGAAAGCAATCCCCTTGATTCGCTCGTAAGCAATCTCCCATCTCCTATCGTCGATCGAAATCGAAATCGCGATGAGGATCTTATATTAAACGATGGACTCCTATGGGAGTCCACCCTTTTCGATCACGATCAACCGAGCGCTAAAGCTACTGTTACAGCTACTACTAACGTTACTGCTGCTGCTGCTACTACTGTTATCTCTATCACCGGTAAAGTCAGGCCATCGTCAACGCCTCCCATGCTCAGCTTCAGCATGGATCGGGGATCGATCGACCAAGTTAACAGATTTCATCGAAAAATGAGCCCCGACTGCATATGGAAGGCTCGGCTTGTGTGTCATGCTTCGAGTCATGCTTCGAGAGCCATTTTACCCTCTATTATCGGTTGGAATTGGTTGAGTCATGCTTGGGTTATGTCTTCTTCGAAACCTCCTCACTTTTTCGTTTCGAATCACAACAACACGAGCGACACGTACGTGAAGAACACCAACTGCCGATCGATCGCTCGTGTTGTTGTTGTGTACGTGAAGGACACCAACTGCCGATCGATCGCTTGTGTTGTTCACGTTGTTGTTGGTATCTTGCTACCTAGAACTGGCATCGGTCGTTTATACTGGCTTGCAGTTGGTCGTTTGAATTCAAAAGATTCGCCAAGTCCGACCACGTCGAGGATCCAACTACTCATAAATTCCAGCTTCGATTGACTCGATTGACTGGTCCATCAAGCTCCTCCTCTTGTTGCCGCTCCTTCTACTGTTGCCTCTGTTGCCCGCTCCTTCTACTGTTGCCTCTGTTTGCCAATTGCCGCCAATTGCCTTTGCCCTCCTCTGTTGATTTTCACTTGATGACCTTGACGACGCTTCCTCTGACCTCACATCTTCATCTTCAACAGCAGCACGCTCAGCACGTCAGCATCCTGTGTTCAGTCCAAAGGCTTCAGACAAGCTTCTTCCTTGAATCTGATCCAATCATCCACCATCTGATCCCCAACAATGACTGCAGCAC